AGTTGGGGACACCGTTTCTGATGAATATTAAAAAATAACACTATTCCTCCACATTTATTAATTTTGCTATGAAAAGTCTTCTCTGTTAATTTTTATATGAGTGAATACGCGACACTGACATTTGTGTCGAATCACTTGAAAAATTGGAAAATAAATCGGTGAGAAGATTTGTGGGAAGACTGAAAATGGCCACCCGAGCGCCCTAGCCTGCGCCCCACAAGGTATTCACGCACAACACCCCTGTGCATAAAGACAAAAGACGACTTTGCGCACATTCCTGCGCATCCAACCGTTGAGAAATTTTTGAATAGCGAAATTGAGAACGAAAAAATTGGAAAAAATTTGATTATGTGATTTTGGTATCCCCTTGACTCCAAAAAATATTATTAATTTCGTTTTATTGACTCGATGAATGTCCAACAAATTTATCTGTCGATACAAAAAGAAAAAACGTCAAATTTTTTTTTTCGCGACAAAAAAATTTTTTTTCAAGCAAAAAACCGAGACAAATGAATCAATTTTCTTGACAATAAATCAGTTTTTTCATTGCTGAATTTTCGTGAGACACGGAGAGGTAATAACCGAGAAATTCCACGAAAAACCTTGAGTACTCACCACTGTTGACATCTTAAACCTTCGCGGAATATGGAAAAAGCTATCTGGGACCTTTATTTATCAGCCGTGGGCGTTAATGAATAGGAATAAAACCGCTTTGTCGATCCATTGTACAGGGCACGGGGGACAAGTGCTCTGGAGTGCTCTGGTCTGAAGTAGTCAGGAGTGGTCAGCAAGTCAGTGCGAGATGCGAAGTGGCAATGAGCCGTCGCGGAACGCCGAAGCCACCTCTGTCTCTTCCTCCCCCAACGCTCCGCCCCTTTCTCCCCCTCGTCAAATCCCATTGGTTGGAAAAACCGTTGGAATTCGAAAACTATTCGAGAAGCTTCTCACATAATTTTTTTCTTCATGAAAATGACAAATCTACCCTGCGAAATATTTTCAGGGGTTCTAAAAAACTTCGAACATTGAAAAACATCGAAAATACATCCGCTTCGCTGAGGGACAATCGAATACTCAGTCCGTTCCCTTGATTTTCAGAAGTGGGAGATGTTGACGTGCGGTGGGGATTAGGTAAAGCGGCGGTAGCTACGCTACGAAGGGGACGCACTAGTCAGTTTATATCAGCGAGCGTGCAGCACAGCAGCAGTCAACGGAAGGAGTCACCTCTAGAGAGTGTTTTTGGGATTGTTCAGGAGTTTTTAATTTATTACAAATGGTACAGACACGCAGTATGAAACGGAAGGAGGAACGTGAGTACAAGTCGATTTTTCCTAGTTCATTTGTATTTTTTTGATTGAGTTGAAGCCTTTCCAAGCAACAGTTTTTTCCTTCGCTTCGTTATTTTTTCTGTTGAGCTGAATTATTTTTTCCAACTTTTTTATTCATAATTACTATTTCATGATGTTTTCTTCGTATTTTTTTAATACAAAAAGAGAGGGCCGAACGAAGGGTCACACGAGAGAAAAATAAGAAATTCAGGGAAAATTGGGAACTGATTGACCTCGTCGATTCAACAAACGGTAAGTAATAAGTAATAAATTACGATTTAATAAACGAAACCAACAGAGAACTTAGGGAATTTCAAAGATTTTTCAATGTTAGAAGTAGAATATTCAACCATCATTCACTCAACACCGAGAGGAAAAATTATCTCTGTCGCAAAACTAAATGTGCCGCGTAATATTTCACGGAGTGGAACAGATTTAAAATAAAATTTGATTTATATAGTTAAAAAAAAGTTTCAATTGAGTTGTTTTAGGCTCCATTAAATTGGTGTTCTTGTTTATATTTTATCTGTATATTTTCTCTCCACAGAAATGGAGGAGGAGGAGGAGTTAACTTTCTTTCAGCATACTACGAGAGACGATAGTGGTGAGCAAAAACTGAATTTTATACTCTGTTAGTTAACAAATTATTTTGATGATGAGTAATTCCGGGAATAAATGTTTGGAGACATTTTCCATTGGAGATCTACTTACAAAGAGGACACAATTCTCTCCACAGGAAATTCACAAAAATTTGCATGCTTGGTCTAATTTTGCAATTTATATTGTAAATTATAAATAGCACTTAAATAAAATCTGTTTTTTTGCAAATTTCAGATTATCCACTCTCGCCAGGTTCTTCCCAGATTGAGAGAGCTAGTCCTTTGGAGCCTCCGTTTCGAGGTAAATAACAAAAATTATATTTCCTACGGAATAGGAAATATAATCGAGGTTTTTTGAATATGAAGAGTAGAAATTTCAGAAAAAATTCCTATCTAAATTAAACTGTTCGAGGCTCCATTTGCGTTGGATTCTTGCCTCAATTTTATCTGTATCTGTATTGTGAATGTTGAATTAAACCCAAATAAAATTTGTTTTATTACAACTTTTAGGTTTTTCAATTTTGCAAGATTCTCGTCAGACTGTAGCAGCATTTGACACTATCGAGTCTTCACTTGCAAGTAAGTAACAAAACCCAATTAGTCAATTTTTTCTTCTTGATAGCTATATTGAAATATTTCAGACATTTTTCTCGTTGAAATTCTCTTCAACATCGGTTGTAAAATATCGGGGCTTCCATTTAAACCTGATTTGATTCTAGGTTCCGAAGGGGATTATCAATCTACAGAGAATTTGACCTCTTCGAGTGATGTCTCAAGTGGTGTCCCAAGAATCCCAGCTGTCAGTGAGTACTACTTCCAATAATTTGATGATACACGTAGAAAAATCTAATAGATAACCCTGGCACTTTCTCTAGAAAATTTTATGAGAAAACTCACGAATTAAAAAATATACATATATCTTTTTAAAAATCATGTATTTTCCAATGAAATTCTTCTCTTGAGCTTTTTTGTACAACGAATAAAATTAAAATTGTTCTTTTTTGTTTATCACAATAGGTCAACTACACGTGGGAGAACGATCATCTAAAAGAGACAACCTCGAAAAACTAGTTCACAGGCTCCTGAATAAAAAAGTCAAACAGGAATTGCAGGACCCTCTTCAAGAAGTTCAGGCACCTCTTCAGGAATTGCAGCCCACAGCCCATGTCTGCCCTGACTCACAACTCAGTCCTCCTCACGTACCTCAGCAGCCCCCGAATACCCCCGACAGGAATAGTCCAGCCCGCAGGGCTTTACAAGGTTTCATTTTTGATTTTTAGGTTTACGTTTTGATGTTTTTCATTGATAGAGTCTTCAAAAGTGCCCTCATGATGCCATTTTCAATCGATTGACTTGAATTTTGGTTTACGCGTGCAGAATATATGCACGAATATAATGCAATGAGTCTTTTGCCCAAGTCATGCCCAAAAAAATGAGGTTTCCGAATGTTTAAATAATTTCAATTATTTATTTCTAAACAACAAATGTTTTAAAAAATAATAATTCTGTGCAAAATGTAATGGGAATGGCGCTGAATATTCATGATTTTTTCACCAATGTCGATTCATAATTACTATTTCATGATGTTTTCTTCGTATTTTTTAACACACAGGTAAAAAAGAGAGGGCCGAACAGAGAATCGAACCAGAAAAACCTGAGAAATCCATGAAAACTCTAGAACTGATTGATCTCGTCGATTCAATGGATGGTATTAATATAAATAGTTTATAAACAATCGATTTTCCACCATAAAAATCAGTTATTTGGAGTCGTAACAAATTAATTCATATTCAGAATTTTACCAGAAATCGATTTCATGCCTAAAAAAATGAGGGTTCCGAATGTTTAGATAATTTCGATTATTTATTTCTAAACAACAAATGTTTAAAAAAATAATAATTATCTACAAAATGTAATTGGAATGAATATTCATGATTTTCTCACTAATGTCGATTTATAATTACTATTTCATGATGTTTTCTTCGTATTTTTTAATACACAGGTAAAAAAGAGAGGGCCGAACAGATGGTCAAACCAGAAAAACCTGAGGAGTCCATGAAAACTCCGGAACTGATTGACCTCATCGATTCAATGGATGGTAAATAATAAATAAAAAATTACGATTTAATAAACGAAACCAACAGAGAACTTCTTAGGGAATTTCGAAGATTTTTCATTGGCAGAAGTAGAAGATTCAACCACCATTCACTCAACACCGAGAAAAAAAATTTGCTCTACCGAAAAAATATATGTTCCAGTGGAACAAGTTTACTTTAGAGAAATTGATCAACTTGATACAAGGAAATTTAATATCTTTGACAAAAATTAAAATTAGAATTCGAACTGTTGGCCGGAAAAAATATAATCTATTGTAGGAAAATCATTTCACCTGAGAGAACTTCATAGGTTTATATATGAAGACAAAAGATCTCTTCAGGAGAACATATAATTTTTCGGCAGAACTAATTTTTTCTCTCAGTGAAAATTGGCGGAGTAGAATTAAATTTTTCTCAAATTTTTCTCACGCAATTGACAAATTTGATGATTGAAAATGGTTGAATCTATAGTGTGGTTTGTAACGAACTGTAAAAAATACTTGGACATCCTTAAAGTGAAAATTTATGAATATTTGAACGTTCTTGTGAATTTCAGAAGTCATGGTGCAACATAACATCAGAAGTAATGACCACAGAAGCATACCATCGTTCCTCAACCTTCCGTTTGATAATCGTTGGACTGTGGGAGGAGCCCCTCGTCACTCAGGAAATAATTACCGTTGGGGCTTTACGGGAGCAGGGAATCACCACAGGCCCAGACCAGCACCCTATCCACAACTTTACTCCTGCAGTAAATCCTGGTAATAATAACAGATAAAAATTTCAGTAATAGAGGTAGCCATGATCATTATTTCATTATTTTGTAATATTTGTATGCTTTTTCCCCTATTTTTATACCTATTTGATATTTATCAAAATCATATTTTGAATCTTGTCTTTGTATTCCTTGCCTTGACATGCTTTGAATTTGAATTTTACAATTAGAATAATTGTTTTCTTAGATTGAAAAATATTAGTGCACCTATTTATTTGTTGAAAAATGTAAAAGACGATAAGAGAGCATTGTTGAAGTCGAATTGTTGAAATCATCAGGTAGCAAAGTCATTGATTTTATTCTGCACCAACAGAAATAAATGAATTAATGTTAAAAAAATTTTATTCAAGTGCGGATCAGTGTTCAGCAGACGAGACGATGAGGAGTGTCTTTGTTGGAAATATTGCGCATAAAGCAACAGAGGAGGATCTGTGGACGATCTTTGGTCAGATCGGACCACTTGATTCGGTCAGATTGATATATGACAGAAAGATAGGAAGGGCCAGTGGCTTTGGTTTCGTGGCGTACAAGGATCAGGAAACAGCCCTGAAGGCAATACAGTCCCTGAATGGCTACGAGCTCAGAGGAAAGATGCTCATAGTCGACAAAGCCAATGAAAAAAAATCAAAGATTTCAAAGGTCTCATGTACAGTCACTCACTAGTTCGTGAACAACCTGAACTTGCAGACTGTGTATTCCGTTCACGAACTTTAGTGGACTTAACAAAGATGTTTGTATATTTGTATCTTTTACCTTGAAATGCTGTGATTTTAAATTTTACAAGGGGAATAATTGTTTACGTGAATTTGAAAATATCTGTACATCTAGGTATTTGTTAAAAATTGAAGAGACTACAGACTTCAAAGAATGATCATAACAATATATTTTACAGTTGTGATTATCGCGATTTAATTGGAACAATCGAAATATGAGAGAATCAAAAATTCGAATCGAACAGAAATACTTTTTATGCCAAGCATAAAGGTATGTGTTCATTAGAAATAACATTGAAAAAACTTGGGGAGTGTTATAACAGTTACTTTTATATTCATTTTTTGTTTATGTATTTGTATATTTGCATATTCTGCCTTCAAATAGCCTTGAAATGCTGTGATTTGAATTTTATAATATGCATAATTGTTTTCTTGGATGGGAAAAGACTATATAGATTGTAAGTATATCAGAAGTGATCGTAACAATATCTTTTATTGTCATGATTATCGCCGTTTAAAAATGTGATGGGTTGATACAAATGGATAAAACCCGAATTTTCAGTACCTCAAGGTAAACGCTTTAACACTAAAAAACGGTCTCTTTATCAATTTCCAAAATGTGTTTTTGCTTGCAATATCTCTGGCCCCAAGTTTCTAGAATGATAATTTGAATAATGGAAATATGAAAAAAAAAAATTGAACCGATATACTTGTTAAGCCAAAAGTGTCTATGTATAGGTTCATGAGAGAAAACACTGAAAAAACTTGGGGAATGTGATAACAGAGTTTTTTTTAAATTTTAATAAGATGAACGTTTTAGTTCGTAATAACATACATATATGTATGTACGTCTATACATTTTATATTTATGTTTTGTTCATGTATTTATATATTCGTACCTTTCGCCTTGAAATACTGTGATATTGAATTTTGCAATACACATAACTGTTTCCTTCGATGGGACAATATTTGTATATCTAGTTTGTTAACAAATATGAAAGACTGCAAATTTCACGTATATGAGAAGGAATGATTATAACATTGTATTTTGTAGGCATGATTATCGCTATTTAAAACTGTGATGTTCGATAGGATCAATGGTTAAAATTTGAATGTTCAGTATCTCAAGGTAAACTTTAGCCCCAAAAATAGTTTCATTATTAAGTTCCAAAATGTGTTTTTGCTTGCAGTGCCTCTGGCCCCAAATTTATAGAATGATAATTTCAATAATCGAAGTATGAGAGAATAAAAAAAAATCGAACAGAAATACTTGTTATGCCAAAAGTGTATATGCATGGGTTCATTTAAGAAAACACTGAAAAAAAATTGTTTTTATAAATTTCAATAAAATAATCGTTTTTTGTTTGTCATAACACACATAAGATTTTCTTTGAACAAAGTAGATTAGAATTAATAGCTAAAATTATGAGATTATCTCACATTTTTGACGTTAAGAATAGGAGAATCTGAATGCAATATAGTGAAAATGATGATCGATTTTTTCACTTTGAACAAATAATATTAATATCCAAATACAAAATTTCTGATATAAATAAAAAGAAGCTGTGACTCAATATTCCAGATGAAGTTTTAATTTTTAATTTGGTGCGGAATTACATTGATGATATGAACAACAGATTAATTGAATTACCGTGTGAACTAACTAAAACTTGATAACAGTGTGGGCGCGCACTTTTACCAGAGTATCAACAAACATTGAATTCCAGAAATTCACACTCTGAAATGTGTTCCAGAACGAATTGAATTGTAATTACGATTAAAATCTTATTCAGTGAGCCTCAGAATTAGAACATGAGCAAATCATTTATTGTAAAATGAAAATTTAACAGCTCATAAATTGGTTCATGTGATTCTCATCGGTCGCCGGTGGTGTTCACCTTTTGAAAACCATCGGCGACGATTTGACTCGAGTAGTGACCCCTTGCCACTTCACCCCCTTTTCCGGTTCGAATGCCAAATCTGTTCCATGTTTTTTAAAATTTCAATTACCATTCGCTACGAAAATAAATTATCTGATAAATAGGAAAGTCTGATTTAGGGCGTTTTTTTAATGTTGAAACCTGCAACATGAAATTTATTTTTTACCTGGGACATCAAAATTTCGTTTCCGGCCTGCGCAATCGCGCTGCGCATACTCTGTGGGCACAGACCCTGCGCAGAGGCTGTGCGCACTGGTGCATTCCGGAGTGAAGGGCAGGCCGCATAGCCACTGCAGCTAGAGCCGTAAAAAAGAAAGAGAGAAGAGGCAACGCCGATTGAAGCCGGCGTCCATTTTACCCTCTCCATTTGTATTAATTGACTGTGTTTATGTGTGTGTACTGGCTTCACCATCAACTTTGAGGGATTATTCCATATAAAATAGATAAAACAAGATAATTCGCATTGACGTGAGTTCCTGGAGAATTTATTTATGTTAATTTTTGGTGTTTTTGAGTGGATGATGCTGTTGAGTGGTAATTTGCGATGTTCGGCGATGGCGCGAGGGTTTTCTTCGTTTAACCTCACCGCCATTGGGTTTTATCGATAAATTGAGAGCTCAGAGAGAGAATTATATATTATTCTTGTTTATTTGGGAGGGAAATTGATGGTTCATGGGGGAAATGATGAGTTTGAACTTTGGAGTATTTTTTTTTGCAGATAATGGACGGTGCACCTCCAGTTCGCGGGGGTTTTCGGGGCCGAGGGGGACCTGGAGGACCCATGCGGGGTCGTGGAGGCTTTGCAGACAGGGGAAGGTGAGTTTTCAATATTTTGTGGTTGTTGCTTGCTTCTGAATTGAAGGGGTGAAATGAAGGTTTTTGGAGCGAGATTCGGGCAAAATGGAGTTGCCTGGGTCTGCGAGGTTGGACGAGGGAATGATGCGATTTCCGTAAGTCAGGGCTCACTTCAAAGGTATTTAAAGTATCTTGAAAATGGCGTGAGATTTTTTGGATTTCACTCAGCCGATCGCGAGTTATTGGCAATCGAAGGATGATTAGTTTTCTTTAGTTTGGGTGCAGTCGATTTTATGTCATGAATGTGGTTCTGGGGAATATTTAAGGTTTATTCATTTTTTTTTTTTATTTCTGCGGAATATTCAAGTTTTTGATAAATACCTCTGAACCTTCTTCTTGTCTTTCTCAGATCCTCAAATTCTAATCAGCAACTTTTCTTTAAGACGACTTTCACTTCATCTTCATATTGACATCAAGTTTCAACGAAAATTTCGAAATTTAGTGAATTTTCATAAACTTTAATGTCTAATCCTCTAAAGGACATTTATGTCTTCAAAAAAACTCCAAACTTCTCAGCCATTAACGGTTATCACAGCAATTTCAATTAAAAATGACGAAAAGAAAAAATAAAGACAAAACCAATTCTTCCACTAATTTCCAATTTTTAAATTTATTTAAATATCAAGACAAATGTGTTGATATCAATACATTTGTCTCAACACAGAAAAAAATCTTTACCAAAATTAGAATCCGATTATTACAATCAGAATGTTCTCAAAACACTAAACAAATGTTTTGATTTAAAATTAAAGGGGTGGACCAGTGCGAGGTGGGATGATGAGAGGTCGTGGTGGTGGTCCTGGACCAATGAGGGGCAGTCCCCCAGGCATGCGAGGACGAGGTGGACCCCCAGGACGAGGCAGGGGTGGTCACTTTCCTCCTGGGTAAGACAGCACATTGAAATTCTATATTAATTTACAGCAAACGTTTTTTACATTGAATTAATGGGTTTTTGCAGAGGCCCTCCAGAGCCTGGACTAACTGGAGGTCCAGGTGGTGGTCCTCTCCCACCCCCAGGGATGGGTGGACCCATGAGAGGTGGATCCAGGGGGGGACCAGGTGGATTCAGAGGACGGGGACGTGGGGACTTCAACAGGAGTGATAGTCGTGGTGGTGGCTTTCGTGGACGTGGGGGCGGTTCTGACAGGGGGGGACGAGGCTCTGGGTATGGGTGAGTTATATTCACCACTATTTTCAGTATTTTCATTTTATCAAAATTTATAATCACTAAAAATGCCTCGTTTGCATAACAATTATGCACTCATTGTTTTTACTGATCATCAAAGGAAGACCTTATTTATCGTGCTGATGAGTTTACCACTTCAGTTTCAATGTAAAGAAATGAGAAAAAAATTGGTTTTGTGTTTTTTCATTGAGGAAATTTTTATGATGCCATTTTCGATGAATATCTCGGAATATACGGCAGATAGCAAAATTTTTGTTATGACCTTCTTTGTAGGGCGAACTGAGGGCTACAAAAAAGGTCATTACGAAAATTGCGCTATCTCCCTTAGATTCGAAGATATTTACAGATAAAGAATACATGCAGAAATATGAGTAAATGAGGTTTTTTGTAATTTTGTAAATCCTCATTTTGGGTTTTTGAATTATTTTTCTTGAAATTGCTACAGGTGAAAAATATGGAACATTATTCAGATGAAATTACATAGCAAATCATTGAAATATAAATTTTTTCCGTTTTCTTTTCATTTTTCTCATTAAATTTTAAATGAATGTTTCGAAAAATCTGAAAAAGGCTATTTTCATGATTTTGCTGTAGTTGAATATTACTAATTTTCAAAATTTCTCACCTCAGCCAATTTTTGGAAAAAAATTCCAAAAACTCACAAAACAGACATTTCCAAAAAAAACTCATCCAGTTGTGTTTAAGTACATATTAACTAAATGTGAGTCATAATTTGAGTCAATTGGTTGAGAATTGCATCACGAGAACACTTTCCACGATTTTACTCCGCAAAGCTTCTTTTTAATTAACAAATTATTTATTTTAAACCAAATTATTTCTCCTTTTTTTTGTACCAGGGCTGTCTGCCCTCAAAATGATGATAAAAGAATTAATAAATTGATAATCATCAGAATTAATTTCTATTTTAATACAAGAAACAATTTTCGTTTTTGCAAATTAATAATCATCCTCCACTTTTTTAATCTCCCAGGGGATTCTCGAGAGGTGCACCACGTGGTGGGATGGGTCGTGGAGGTCCAGGATCCTTCGGTGATCGAGGTGGACGAGGTGGAGGCAGCGATCGTGGAGGTCGAGGTGGTCCAATGAAGCGAGGAAGACCTCCAGGTGTTGGTGGACCCCCAAAACGCCCCAGATACGAGGCCCCACCACAACAGGCTGCCAATGGCTATGTTGCACAACCCACAAAGTAATTATTCCACAATCAAGAGTTAATCGTTCTCTGTGATGTTATTGATCTCCATGTTTCATTTTCATTTCATAGAAACCCAACAGCACAAAGGCCAATTACAGGATCAATTTAATTATACAAACATGATATAATGAATTTAATTAATTATCTTACAAATCAAAATACTCATTAAAAGTATATGCAATAACTAAAGTATATGATGATTATGTATGATAAACATGATCGATATGTGGATCCTACACTGAGAAAGACGAACAAGTTCTCAGACAAGCTTGTTCGGACCAATAAATCGCAAGTTGAAAATTACAAAAAAAATTGTTTCATTTGAATTTGGAAGTCTCAAACACGAATAATCACTCTGCTTTTAACAAGAGACGGCGTCCCTTCAGGATGAAAATGTCTCTTATATAAAGGGGAATTTATCATCATTATTATTTTATTTGAGAATTAATTTTTTATAAGGAACTACTGTTCCTTATTTCACATAAAACGAATATTTTTCAGGGGCAGAATACGTAGGGGGGAAAGAATATTCTTAAACAGTATAGGACGCACAGAATAGGAATTTTTTGGAACAACTAACACCATTATTACAAAGAAAATTTGTCATGTTAGCACAGTCTTTGAATAGCCAGCACTAGAATTAATTTTTTTGTAATTCTTAACTTGCAAATTTTTTTATTCAAACAAGACCTCTTTGAGAATTTTTTTGTTCTCTTGACGTTTTCCAGTCTCTTTTGTTACTTTTCAATCAATTAGCTAGGGATCATGGACTTTTAATGGCTCGGGAGACCAACAAATGCACAAAATTAATGAATATTGCCACTTTATTCATTAATTTAACAAAAAATTGAATCAATTAAATCAAAATTAATGGATAAACTGGCACCATTTATTAATTTTGCGTCTTACATTGGTTTTTGAAGCCTGAAGAAGCTTGAATAATAAACTCAACGTTGTGAATTGATAAAGAAATAGTACTGCTTACTCATTTCATCAAAATTTAAATTTTATTAATCAATTATTTTGTTATTCTCAATTAAATATTGAACCAAATTTTCATCTTTCAGTCAAGGCTATGGAGGCCCTGGGAATGGATACAGTCAGCCTCAGCAACCACAAGTCGCCGGATATGGCGCACCAGGGGGTGGCAACACTGGGTATGGACCCCCTCAGGGTGGTTATCAACAAACAGCATATCAGGGGTATGAGAGCTATCAGCAGCCCTCGGATTACACACACACTACGGTAATTTATTCGGGATGATATGTCGAATAATGGACTTGTTTAATCTTCAATAAATGATACGATTTGGATGATTTTTCTTTCATTTTGAAATTTGAAAAAAAAAATTTTTGAATGAGACCTAACTCCTTGGATTTCACTCTGCCAATGTGGGGAAAGAGACAATCGTATTTTAGTGTGGGCTATGACGTTAATTAACTACAATTTTTTTTTATCATTAGTATGACAGTTTCGTTAAATGAATGATCAAACAAATTTTCAAAAAATTGGAGTTTATTGATGCGTCATGGGCTTGAATTCGCATGATACTACAATATTATTGCCTCTACCAATTCGGAGCAAAAAAATCGAAAAAATTTAAAAATTTGCATTTTCAAAGAAACTCAAGTATTTTTTTTTCGTCGCTATCTTACGTACGTGGTAAACAAAATTCAAGTTAATCCATGGAAAATCCTTGTAAGGGGATTATTTTGAAGTCTTTATACTTGACAGCCTCCCGGCGTCAATGAAAAAAATTAAAGTTCGATTTTTTCTCATTTTTGAGTATAAAAAATGAGTGCTAAAATCGTCAGTATGGCAGAGACAATCGAAACTTTCAAATTTCACTGCGGTCTCCTCTTGACAATATCTTCAAATTGAAGAATTGATAGCAACATTCTGATGAAGTTTATTTTTTCGGAGTAAATTTTTGTCGTGATCATCAGAAATGTCCCTAGAAGAATTCCAGCTGTTGGCAGGAAAAAAATCGATTGTACGATAATCATTTGTTCTGAGAGAACTCCACAGGTGTATATCATAGTAAGAATACATTTGACGAGGAAAGAATATTTTTTCCCAAAACAAAATTGTCCCCTCGAAATTATTTAGCTTTGCCAATAACACAGCTTTCGGCAACAAAAATTGTAGTTTCCTCTTGAAATTATCATTTGTTCCGTGGAAATTATAAGTGTTTATTGGACGAAGATATACACTACTCAATGAAATTCATTAAAACAAATGTATTTACCCGAAAGACTTATAAATGTCTCACGAGAACAACAACTACGAGAATTATCACAGTTTCTTAGAATTTATTTTGTGTCCACAAGTAAATTAATTCAACACGCCAGAAGACCTCTTCAGGGGAACACATAATTTTGCTGTAGATTTGAAGATAATTAGCAAAAAATAAACTTCAATTACTTCGTCTTCTCCCAGAACTCATTCAACTCATATTTTCATTGATTAAAACATCGAATAATTGATTAATTACGGTAGCAGGGATACGCTGCCCAAGCACCAGCGGATAACAGATACGTCCCAGCGCCAGCGACCGGTGGATTCAATGCAGATCCTTACAATTATGGAAAAGCACCGCCCCAAGGTAAAATAAATTCTCATTTTCCTCGGAACCTGCATGCCTGTGAGATGAAGATAATTCAGTAGCGAAATGGTAAAAGAAGATGAGTCAATTTTGACTATTGACCAGTTTTCACTTAATATCTCGGAATCTAAGGGAGATGGCAAAATTTTTGTTATAACCTTTTTTGTGGAGCCGATTGAGTGCTACAACAAATGTCATTACAAAAATTTCGCTATCTCCCTTAGATTTGGAAATATTCCTCAAAAACTAAACGTTTATCTTCTTTACCACTTCACTACTGAATTGAATAGAGAGAGTACTCGATATTAATGTGATATGGTGGGTGGACAGTAAACTACCAACAGGAGGCTGTTGCTCCTGCACTGGGTGGTGGTGATGATGGTGGCGGTGGGTATCCTCCTGGGAATCCCTATGAAGATCCGTCTTGCAATCCCAGCGTTATGGCAGGCCGGACCGGTGGTTACTCGACACACGGCTACGGTTAGTCACAACAATTATTCATTCGTTGCAGATGAGTATTTCGGGAGTCGAATATGTGATTGTCGATAGAACAAGTAGATTTTTCGTGTATTGTTAAATATTTTCTTTTCGTCTTGGTAATTGGTAGATCGTTGTACGAATAACGAGGGATTTGAGAGAAAATATCTAGAGAGATTGTCATTTTTTAATTTATAATTGAGGCAAAAGGTGATATTGTCCTTCTAAAATCACGTCCCCCACATTTTAGTTATTGAATTATTGAATTATCTTGATAATGAGTGATTTAACAGAAAATATCTACAGAAATGTTACTCAGACAAAATAGAATTGACAAAAATTAAGCTGCAATGTCTCAGAAATTTCAATTATTTAGCATTCTCTCGTTATCGTACTAGTAGAATTTCGACTAAATTTTTGTCTCCCACTTTAATTATTAGATTGTCTCAATAGTAAATGATTTAGTAGAAAATATCTAGAGACATTATCATTCCAAAATTTACAATTCACCAAAAAGAATTAATAAAACAATATTAAGCAATTAAAGAGAATTAACAGAAATTGAATTGCAATGTCTCTAAATTTCAATAGTTTATTCTATATTTCCCGCAGATCAAAGGATTAAAATTTTTTCATTATTTTCACATCATGTTAATTATTGAATTATCTCAATAGCGAGTGATTTAACAGAAAATATCCAGAGAAATTATCATTTCAAAATCCCTATTTTCCACAGCTCAACCAATTAACATTTCCTCCTTATCATTCCAGATTACACAACTCAAGACGGTGGCTACGGAAAACAAGACTACGGTAAGTACCAAACAGTAGAAAGCCAATACTATTGAATCAAGCGACAGCGCCCGTAAACTAGTATCGGTACAAAATAACCATCGAGACCATAATATAAACCTAAGTACGCAATCAGAGAAATTAAATCCACCGAAAAAAAAAAAATTATGAAAAAAAAACCGAGAGAGCGCTGAAAGCTGCTGCCCACTGGGAGAATTCAAAAACTCATGGAACAATTCCTTTTAATCATCTCTAAAAACTACATTTTTTTCTCCCAATTTTTATTGACACTTTTGTCCTGATAAGAAAACGACCCGTAGGATATTTAAAATTTTCATTTGAAATTGTAAACTGAATCGATGAGACCTTCACTAAATAAATAACTCCAAGAATATCCAGATATTCACGAATCATTCAATCGAAAATTTAGAAAAAATGAAACGAGAGTGACGAAAAATTATTGATGAGTCGATGGAATGAGTGACTGGAGAGGCTATAATATTTGCAGGTGGCAGTGCTGGTTACGATTACGCCCAGGCCCAGCGAAATTATCAATAAACAACAGAAAATAAAAATTACCAAGGGAAATAATTGAAAACTGCATTCATCACTTGACCTTAAATTTTCAGCTTTAGACAGTGATTTCTCTATAAATTAATCAATAAAAATCATGTGACGAATTGCAAATCAACAACAAATTAATTTTAACGATTGATAAACTCGTGTGATTTCAAAAATTTATGAAAATAACTAGAATATAAATTTTCATTTAGTTGTCACCTGGGAATTGTCAAAAAATATTAGGCAGAAGATAGGCTCAAGATACGAATAAGCACTAAAAATACAAAAAAATTTATTGACACTTTTATCCCGATAAGATAACGACCCGTAGGGTATTTAGAAATTTCTTTTGCAATTGTAAATTGGATCGATGAGACCTTCACTAAATAAATAACTCCAAGAATATCCAGATATTCACGAATCATTCAATCGAAGATTTAGAAAAAATGAAACGAGAGTGACGGGAAATTATTGATGAGTCGATGGAATGAGTGACCGGAGAGGCTATAATATTTGCAGGTGGCAGTGCTGGTTACGATTACGCCCAGGCCCAGCCAAATTATCAATAAACAACAGAAGACAAGAATTAGCAAGAGAAATAATTGAAAACTGCATTCATCACTTGACCTTAAATTTTCAGCTTTAAACAGCGATTTCTCTACAAATTAATCAATAAAAATTATGTGAGGAATTGCAAATCAACAACAAATTAATTTTAACGATTGATAATCTCATGTGAATTCTAAAATTTATGGAAATAACTAGAATATTAAATTTCATTAAGTTGTCACCTGGGAATTTTCAAAAAACTTTAGGCTGAAGATAGGCTCGAGCTACGAATAAGCACTAAAAATACAAAAAATTAAGGAATGAGTGTTTTATAATTAAGTCTCACATTGGTCATAAGAATAAACTTCTTGTGTTAGCCTTTTTATTCTCTGAACTGAAATAAAAACACCCAAAAATTGTAAAAACATGAATTGAGATGGATATTTATTGATTGTGAATGAGCATAAAAAATCATTTTCATGGGGAAATTTCTTTAACAATAATTTCATTCGATCACAATCCATCATCTTTAGTTATTTTATATTTTAATTTTCCTCTCGCTTTAACCATTCATCCAAGCTGCACTAGTATTGCGTTAGTTCCAAGTGATGAGAATCGATAAGTTTTCTCAAATGATTCGTTTGATCGACGAAAATATTAGGAAATACAAAGATTATTTTGTGGATGAAATTATGATTTTATTTTGAATGGATAAAACCATGTGCAAATGACGATTATTTTGTTTTTCAGTAGGTAACGAAAGAAAACTGACAATTAAGTTAAAAAAAGCAAGATAAAATATTGAAAATATATTCTTTTATGTATAATTTATATGATTTTTACGACAATGAAGGATGAAATTCATGTGTCGATGCATCATTTCCTTTGTTCAACTAGAAAGATAATTAAATCTGTGGCATGTATGACAAGAGCATAATGACAGCTGAAAATGGAGAGAAAAATCACGATAAAGCAATCATCAGAACAGAACAAGAGCACTTTCCCTTTTTTTTTCATTGCCTCCTCACCCTTTTGCACAAGAGTGAACAAAAAATCACTGAACACTTAATGAATGGAATTGAGATAATTATTTGTCCAATAATTCACGCAAAACCAGCTAAACTGCCGAATAGGAAACCAGCGAAATCCATTAAACCGAGAGCAACGCAATAACGAGGGCTATAAGGGCGTCTCGTTAAACAGTGGCAAGTAATTAATGAAAGATTAATGAGAGAAAACGTAGGTATTCTGCTGTTGATAAAGAGAACGTAGAGATATCAATAATCATCTACTGATGGACATCACATTTTCATTGTGAACTAAATTTAATTGAATTGTTTTTTATTATTACTTTTTTTATTGTGTTTTTGGGGAGGAGAACGTTTGGGGATGGGAAATCCTCTGGTTTTTTAATGATTGTCATGGGAGAATGTTGAATGATGGATGGTTAGGGGTTTTTAAGGAGTTGGAAGAGATTTTTTGTGGAAAAAAGGTGAATTTCATTTGCTGCAGTTTTAGGAGGAAAATTGATTTTACTGAACTTTCAATGTCTGATGACTCTATGATGCGATTTGGACGAGTTTGATTTCATTTTTAACCTTGAGAAAAGATCTTGAAAATGAAAAAAGAATCGATACATTTCACCCTGTCGATCTCGAGTTATTGAAGATTAAGTATGATCCATTTTCTCTCTTCTAAATCCATTCTATCATTTTTTCCAATTATGCAATTATCTCGGAAACGAGCGGTCCTAGGGGCAAATGTCAAAAGACCTTTTTTGTAGACGAGGAAATTTCCGACAAAAAATGATTTCTGACATTTTCTCGTAGAACTGCTCGTCCTGGAGATAATCGCATATTAAGTAAGACGTGAAAAATCGCCTTGTTACGCTTTACCTTTATTCTCACCCCAACCAACTTATTCTTCACACCTCTTACATTTTTTTATACACGACAGCACGAAATTGTTGCCAAAAATAACGAGAGGCCCACGATCTCATGACAATCCCATTGCAATCGCAGGATTTCCCACTTCCCCCGGAGTCTTCCCTCCAAAAGAAAAACTCTAATATAGAACAATAAAACTTGCATATCGGAAACGAAGGATAATAATTGAATATAAAACCCAAAATGGAATGATCAAATACGAAACGAGACAATTAAACCAATTGATAAAGTGAAAAGAGAAGAAAAAAGAAACGAAAAAAGAGAAAAAAAGCACAAAGAACAAACAAACAAATACAGTAAAAATGCTGAACTTCTAAATAACATAAGAAAATGCAAAATAAGAAACTACGGTGACCGATATAATCAGGTGAGTAAAACCAATAAATCAATATATATCCGTAATTTGTTTGTGATAAATTCATGAAAAACCACAAGTTCCAAGATAATTGAATAAACATGAAAGCCTAATGCACTAGAACAATTGAAAAAAAAATATTGAAAATCCGAAAAAGCAATCAATGAAACATTGTTAAACAGATAATCACGAGTGGCATTGTCCTTGAAACTCATTGAGTTTTGCACAGGTCTCATTAATAATTAACGATTATTCATTTACTGATGAAAGCATGGCCATGAGAGATAGAAATAAATTTTCATATGGAATTCAACGCAGAAACTGTTGAGCGACAGTAAACACAAAAATCTGATCAATAATTATGACAAAAAAACATAAAGTGCTGTTTGGTACGTGCGAAACGCGAGATTTTCATTCGCTAGGTAGATAGGAAAAATCAATCACAAGAGAATGAAGAAAAATTCATTGAAATATGGAAGAGCTAGGTAAAAGGGCCTTCTTTAATCGCCGATATCTCGGGATTGGCAGAGTGAATTTTCAAAAATTTGCGGCCATTCTCCAGATTTTTTCATAAACTTTGAGATGAACGAAAAATATTTCGAATCGGTACATTTGTTCGAGAGATATTGGACATTTGAGAAGGCTCGTTTTATGCTGCTGCCTCCTGAGTAATTCTCGAAATTTCAAGAGCTCTCGTTTTAATTCTATAATATTTTCTATGATTTCTTGTGGGGTGGATGGTCCTGTGGACATCCACAACTTGTGTTTGCTGACCCAAACGCAGAATTTAATTTTCTTGGATCACAAGATTTTTTCAAGAGGTTTTGGTTTTGATGCGATTGACCACTGGATCATTCACCCTGAATACGACTTTTAAATGCGTGAAACTAAAGTTCTATTTTTCCCTTAGGATAAAAAAAATGCCAAGAGGAGACTTGAGAAACAGCGACCACATGACTGGTGCCTGGCTTTACCCAGAGGCCAGAACAGCTCGTCTTCGATTTTCGACTGAGAAGAATGTGAAAATATTGAAACATGATCATGAAGAGTGATGATGGATTGTGGTGAAGTGACTGAAGTAAAATAAAGATATTAAACGGTAAAAAATCCTTTTTATTTGTCATGTGTTTTGTTTTGTTTTTTACGAAAAATATGACGTAGAGATTGTTTGATCCTTTTTTGTGCTCGTGACAGTCTTTATGCTTAAGTTGTCATGAGATGTAGGAAATTACAATTAGAACATGACTGAATGTTTTCTCATTTATGGCGAGGTAATCACAACGCAGCTGAATCGTAATGGCTGAGAACTACTGAACTTTTTGGAGGTGAGGTGACCAGTAGGTGGACGACTGCTCTGTTTGTTGATAATTTTGGGGGAAATTAAGTGGAATCTATTGAGACTTGTATTTTTTGTGGGGACGTGATTGTGAGGTCACTCTCGGCTCATACTTCCCTAGTTACAGAAGAAAAAATCCTTAGAATACGAAAAATAACGAGATGCTTATGATGATGAAAGGACTAGTTGGTATCATGTGGTCAATCTTCTCTTTTGCTGGTCGCTGGACAGGAGCATCACCTGGACGTAGCTGTGGCCCTCCCTCAGGTTGATTAGTCTAAAAACGAAACATATTTTCTTTATTTTATTGAATTCTTCCCGACAATTCAGCCATTCAAAATATCCGGCAATTTTTCAAATGATTCAACTCAACTTACCTTCAGCTTTTAACGAATATTTTTGAATCCAAAGAGTAAAACTGTGATTGTAAAATTTTTTCGAGCTTTAAATTCTCTCTTTATAATAATTATTCACAAAAATTTCCCAATCCATTGTGAAACGTGAACAAATATATTATAAAATACATTATTATTTTATAATGATAAATAATTATTATTTTTTTAAAATTACCGATTACGTTCTTGCTGCTGTATATGTAGCCTGTCACCCCGCCTGAGTGGTAGAATAACACTAGTGTGGCACGAAGCTTCAGTGGCAGATACAGCTGACACAGTCGCACATTTTATAATTTTCCTCGTTGTGGAAGAACCCTCGGAGCTCAGTAATATCCAGTAAGAGTAATGAGTTTTTTCCCCGTAGTAATAAATCTGTTGACCCATGGTTTTCTCATTAATTCCACGTTTAAAAAAAAATAAATAGAACAACTTTGCGGTTTCTCTAAGAAATTCTATTGAATTTGCATTGGAACTCTATAAGAATTCTATTATCATTCTATTATTATTTTATTAGAATTCTATTGAAAATTATGCAGCGTCCCCTGCGTTTTTAAATAGATACTTGTTTCCACAAAAATGTCTGAATGAATTTTCAATAGAAATTCAATAGAATCTCTGAGAGAAAGCGCTAGGTTTTCCTATAAAGTTCATTCATGCGTGTCGACAAAATTGAGAAGACAAAGGGGTGAATATATGGAGTTCTTACTCACTTGAGCTGAGATCATGTACAGTCCATTGGCAGTGACTTCAATGGATCGTTTGTCCTCTACCAGATGGAATTTATTGAAACCATATCGAGTCTCATTGCGTTTCACCCAAGGCCCAATGTAAACTGAACAGGATTTTTAAATAAATTTTGCGATTTTGGGGGGAAAACAATGGATAAATTATTGATAAAACAGAAGACGAGTTTGTCTTTTCACTATTTCAGGTAATGATGAAAGGAATTATGATGAATTTATGTCGGTAACGATTTTGTAATTTAAGGGAAGATGAAATTAAATTTTTTTTTCTGGGAAATTTTCTCATTTAAGAGGAAAAATATGAAGATTTTTTTAATGAATTGGATTTAGAGAAGAAAAATATCAGACACTCATCTCCACAATGTTGTTTTCGACAAAAATGTGGAGACGATGTTGTTTTCCCCTAAAGCAACTCATTACCTAGATATATCCATAATTGATGAGAATGTCTTCTCCCAGTTTAATTTATTTTCAAGTACAACTACCTGTATCCGTGACGTGTTGCTCAGGCACAGCACCGACAAACGTAGCCACCAAAGGACCTGAAATAAAAAAGACGAAACGTCTGTTAAAAAATGAAACTAAAGTTCGACAGTTTGATGATTAGTCAAGCAAGCAAACTCCTCAAGCTGTTAGTCACATCGAATTCATACTATCAGGGACGAGAAAATTAAAGGTAAAAATTTGGTGAATTCGACAGAAATTTTTTTTAAATTTCTATTGATTTTTGACCTATTAATTTTTCTATTGAGACTTTCTCTATAGAAATCCCATCATCCCCATGAATTCTTCAAGTTTTTTCCGCTATTTTTCTTCTCATTTCATAACAAAAATCCATTTAAAAAAACTTAAAAAACGTGAATCAAAGAATTTCAGTAGAAAATATTGTCAATAAAATTTTCCATTGAATATTTCTATCGAAAAACAAACGCAGAGAAGCAGAATTTTTTGATAGCATCTGCCAAAATCTAATAGAAAGTTCAATAGAAATCCAACGAAATTTTCTAGCCAAGTTTTTCCATGAATTATTTTTTCGTACCTGATCAACTGGAATTTTGCATGAAATATTTCAATTGCTGGATATGAAGAGTAAATTAAAAACATCTTCATCTCCATAAATACGAAAATATTACGAGCTCGTTACCTTATATATGACTCTTCAATTTTTCATTGTTTCTCGAACCAAAAAATAAAAAATACTATCTTGCATATATTTTTCGAAAAAATGTCATAAATAAAAAAAAATAAAAGGACATGAAATAAAATTGCTGTCAGAACATCATTAGAAGTATTTTCTCATATAAAAATATGAATGAAGAAAAAAACAATGAATTAACTTCAAAGAAAGAAAAATATAAATAATTTGTTTTAACATGTTGAACATTTCACGCAAAATCCCAATTAGTGCCACAATATCCTCTCAATTTAACTATGAAATCAGTCATTAAATTAACAACAATAATCGTCCAAGTGTACCCAATCGCCTGCGACTGCGTTTAGGCCTCCGTTTGATCTTTCTTCGTTGTTTACCTCTGACCTCCTCCCTCTTAGCTCGACCCCCACGTGCATCACTCCAAACTCCCTGATTATCACTGATTGTAGCCACATCAGTGACATTATTGCTGTCAAACATGACAACCGATCTTTCGAATCTCCCCGGATGCAGTTTGCCTGGGCCCTCACTCGAGTGATCCTCATCGTCCCTTTTTATTTCATCTTTACGATGATCGGAATCGATGATGAGTTTGGCGGGTGACTCAGCAGGGATCCCCTGGGGTTTACGGTAGTAGTTCAGGCGATTTAGCCTGTTTAGTCTCTCGTATCGCAGCATTAGGATCACCAGGTTCGAATTCATTGAATTCATCTGGAAGAAATTCGTTCAATGGATTTCAGAGGAAAATGTGGTGGCAATAAATTTCAATAAATTGCGAAGGTGATGCATTTTATTTCACTCGCTTTTAAATATATTTTTTGTATTAGGGTAACGAAATTTGGTGTCTAAATAAATAAATTTTAAATAGAGGTAAATTTTAAATAATTCAATTAGTTAATATTGCTCAACGATTTTTTAATTATTGAATGAATCATCAATTGAATATTTAAATTCCGATTTATGTTATCAATTAATAATTGTAGCTAATCGAAAATCCTTTTTATGAAAATTATAATTATTTACTCCATAGTCGATTGACAATTCCGTATTGCTAATTATCGATTAATTCATATTAATTATTAATCCGTATTGTTAATTCATGGTCAATTGAAACTTCAAATTATCAATTATTTTAGTATTGTTCAAATTCAATGAAGATAAGTAAACTTTAATTATCGTAATGTGCAACTTTAGGTGCAAATTCTCTTCTGATGATCTCAAGTTATTGAATTCATCTGGTGGAAACTGAATTTGTTAGTCATCCTTGGGGTTGTAATGGAGTCATTGAAGTGGCTTCAAAGGGAAATGTGATGACAGCTGCATTGTCTATTTTTATTTGTAAATCCACTTTCTTATTTGGCTTTTTTCTCGAGATACTTGATATATCACGTCATACTTTGGAGAGTTTATCTGCGAACGTGTTTAACAGTGACAACACATAGATTATTTAGGATAGTGTGTCATACCAGTGATCTAATTCTCGTTACGTGATGGCATTTTAGCTAGGTGGAATGCTTGAGTGCATTAATTCTATTCAAAAGATTTTACCTATGCAGGAACACATTTGTTTATATTCTTTAAAAATCATTATTTTTCACAATTTAATAAATTATTCTTCTTCAAATTAAAAATGCATTGAAACCAGAAGGTTTAACATCTCATGAGAATATCAATAATTTTATTTTCTTCATTAAATGTAAAAAAATGCGCATATTTTTTTGAACTTAACAAGACAACATCGTCTATTTTTTTTAACTAGTTCCATTGTTTATTTATGAAAAGAAAAATATTTGAAAAATACTAAAATACTGCGGAATGTAAATTGAATGATGTTAATTACCTAATTAAATTCTTTCCAATTTTTCCTCGTCAATTTAATTGAAAAATTCGAAAACTGGAAATGTCTAAATTTACAGTGCACTCAGAATTAAATGCTGGGGCAAAATGGGCACTCGAATTTCGTTCTCAATAAATAAATTCATCAATTGATGTCAGTCCAAGGGGGAAGAATTGCCTTTTCATTGGAAGAAAAATGTCACTCAATTAAAAATTAATAAAATATTAAATGATGATTTGAAAATATGTTAAATGTCCATTTTGCCCCACTCACCCCTCCCCCCAGAAATGCCCTCACCTGTGCCTCCAGAGCCCGCACCTCCCTCCTGAGTTGTGAAAACAGTAAAAAAAATGCAACAGTCATTAAAACAATAACTAAACTCTGGGTTCTTTGGAAAATCTTTGATCTCTTGCTGTTCGATAAGGAGACACTCATGTTTACATTGTACTCAAACACTTTCCCCGCTGTATTATCCACAGTATCGGCGATCCTAATCGACGTTTCTCTCCTCATTTTTTTCTCCATACTTTCAACGAAAAATCCTTATCACTTATCGTCGAGAGTTTATCACTTCCTGGTGGGATTATCCACTCTGGAAATCTGAAAAATACACCATTTCGTCCAAATTTTCTCGTATCACTTGTCCCTGACACTGGAATGTTTGAATACGCTGGAAGAAAAATCTGCGGGTTCTCAAAAGAGTCTCGTTTGGACCAAAAAATCGCAAGTGTGGAATTACCAGAAAAACAAATTGTTCAATTACAATTTCAAAATTAACCTGAATAACAAAATATTTGGCTGCAACGAAATATCCCTCATGAAGAGAACTATCGATGAATATTGTGCCTTTAGGTCATCATCATTATTATTTTATTTAAGAATTAATTAAATAATTAATTTCAAGTTCAAGATGATTTGGCGCTTATCCGAGTTTTTGTGGAATATCTCCGAATCTAAGGGAGATAGCGAAATTTTTGTGAGAACCTTTTTTGTAGAGCGAGTTGAGGGCGACAAAAAAGGTCATGATAAGAATTTCGCTATCTCCCTTAGATTCCGAGATATTCAACTGAAACTGGATAATGGTCAAAATCGACTTGAACCGTTTTACAGCTTCGCTAACAATTGATGAATGAAATAATTAAATTAATTAAGTTAAATTAAATTAATAACGAATAAGTAGTGCTAGGAATGGCATTTCTTGCTTGCATACAGAACAAAAATTTTTCAGAACAACAAAATCTGTTTTTGTGACGAAAATTAAATCTTTTCGTAATTTTTTTTCAAACTTGCTTTTTTTTCGTTCAAACAAGACTTGATTGGGAAGATGTATTTTTTCTCTCTCATTGTACCAACGAAGGAGATTGAAAATGAGAGGAAGGATGCAGGCAGGTCTGTTCACCTCGGGAATAACGCGACAACTGAATGAAAATGAAAAAATGTCAGAGCGTTTAGTTGGCTAGTTCACGTGTTCACACACTCGAGAGCAAAAAATCAAACCGCAATACATATCGTTCAGCTGCATTCCGGAGGGAAGCGAAAACATTCGGAGTAGAGGTGGTTTACGAATAAGTGTTTCGATGTATCTGATTACATTTGTCCGGAATTGTAGCAGAGATAACTTGAAATTTGAATTGAGAGGGGGAGGAAGGGAGAGAGGATTTGTTGTAGTTGGAGTTTTTCTGAGAATGCAGAGCCATTCATGGGATCTCGTATCCGAGATGTCGATGAGGTTTAAATTGTGGGGTATGAATGGGGAGTTGTTGGAAAGGTTGATGAAGGTGGAGATCTGTCTTTGGGGACACTGACGAAAAAATTTAATTGAAAAATCTAGCGAATTCGTTCGAAAATTCTGTTGGATTTCTGTTGAACTTTCTATTAGTTTTTGGACGATTATATTAAAATATTCAATAGAATTAGATTGTTTCATGCAACTTATTCTAATAAAATATTTTCTACAGCAATTCCTCGTGGACAATTGATTGTTTACAAATTATTAACAGAAAATGTCTCAACAGAAAAATTTTGTGAAATATAAAATTCAACTGATGTTTTCTATAAAACAGTTCCTATCTGACATTTTCCATTAAAAAGGGCCATAAAGCTGGGGAATTCTTCAAGAGAATCAGCCAAAAACTATTATAATCTTCAATAGAAATCGTTTTTCCATTAAAAAATCATGGGCAATTTCTCGAATGAATGGAGAAAATGAGGCGATTTTCATGAAGCCCGCCTAACAAACAAGAGAATTGAATACCATCCTATGAAACATGAATGAACGGAATTATATTGATGAGATGAACAACAGATTAATTGAATTACCGTGTGAACTAGCTAAAAATTGATAAGTGTGGGCACGCACTTTTACCAGAGTATCAACAAACATTGGATTCCAGACATTCCCACTCTAAAGTGTGTTCTACAAGGAATTGAATTGTAATAACGATTAAAATTTTATTCAGCAAGCACAGGAATTAGAACATGGGCAAATCATTTATTGTAATACGAAAATTTAACAGCTGATAAATTGGGACATGTGGTTCTCATCGGTCGTATTGCTTTTTTCACTGAGAATGATCATAAACAATCAACCGAACAAAGGGATATCGACTCCAACACGAAAAAGAGCATCAACACCTCGGCTGCAAGCTAGTCCAATAAAATACTCCAGTTATTCCCCAAAACAACTAAAGAAAACTCACCACGTCGAGCCATCCTCCACACTTGAGCCTCCAAAAAGAGAAGTGAATTAATATTCCTCTCAGTTGTTTCCTCTCTCCTCCCAACAATTCGATGAATTATCGAGGCACGAAGAAAGGACTAGGTCCCAACGGTTTTCTCACTTATTTCAGGTTGTCGTCGGGACGCTCTCGAGGCGGTCCATCTCTTTTGTTTACCCGTCGCGGCCGGTTTCTCGTCGATCCCCGGAGACTCTATCGCATACGGTTTAGTTTACCTCGTGAAAAGAGCGTTCGCACAGCTCCGCTCGGCCCCACCGACCGAACGGCTACCCTGCCGTTGTGCCCCGTCCACTCCACACACCCGCAACTTTGGATGTGAGAAATGCCTTTGTTGTTTGGTGGCTTCACTCTGCCAACGCGTCTCGCTCACAAATCCCTAGATCACCGCTCGATATTCCGTCCTTCACTCGCGGATTTATTTATTTCATTCGGTTTTATCCCGTCAGTTACGCAGAAATTTCATATGAAAATCCATAGAGCGAATTTGCTTGGAAATTCTATTGAACTTTCTCACAAATCCCTAGATCATCGCTCGATATTCCGTCCTTCACCCGCCGATTTATTTATTTCATTCAATTTTTATCCCGTCACGCACAAATTTCATAGGAAAATCAATAGAACTAATTCGCTTGGAAATTCTATTGGATTTCTATTGAACTTTCTCACAAATCCCTAGATCATCCCTTGATATTCCTTCCTTCACTCGCGAATTAACTATTTTATTATTCCATTTTTATCCCATCACTTACGCAGAAATTTCATAGGAAAATTCATAGAGCGAATTCGCTTGGAAATTCTATTGAATTTCCATTGAACTTTCCATTCATTTTTAGCTGATTCTATTGAAAAATTTCACCGGTTTTTTCATTAGAAATATTCAATGGGAAATATGCTATAGAAAAGAATCAATTGCATTCAATTTTTCTGTATAATCTATTCCATTAAAATATTTTCTTTTGACATGGAAAATTCATGTCGAGGAATTCCTATAGAAAATGTTTCTATAGAAAAAGTTCTATAGAAATATCAAATTCTACTGATTTTTTCAATAAAATAATTTCTACTGCACATTTTCCATTAAAAATAGAATCACTCAAAACCCAGTAGAATTTTCAATAGAAGTTCAATGGAAATTCAATAGAATCTTCTTTCGAATTCGCTCGGTTTTTCTATGAAATTTTTTTCATGCGTGTTCACAAATAAAAAAAATAACATTTTTATTCAGTTGCCATATTTCATAACTTTATGCAATAAAAACAAATGGCCAGTGCCCCAAAAATAGAGAAGAAGGAGAGGGAAAGAAGAAGTCCCGTTGTTTCGATGGCACTTCTGCATTGCGATTATTTCGCCATGTGCGAGCTGCACATGCATCTGTTTGTCAGTGGCTTTTTATTCGAGTTCTCTTTAATTTTAGATTCTTTGAGAAAGGGATAAGACGAAACATGCCTCGCATTTTCTAGTATTTATAGAACCTTTCGATCTTCGGTTTTGCTGGAGATGGGGCAGGGAAATCAAACGGAATTGATATTCAACGAGGAGTTCGATTGGGGTATTACACGGACGGAAAAAATTTATAGAAAAACCTTAAGAATTCGCTAGAAAAATCTACTGGATTTTGGGGTTTTGTTACCCACAAAATGTCCAATAGAAATTATTTTATATAAGAATTCAGTTGAATTTCATCTTTCTATACAAATTTTCTATTGAGAGTTTTTCTATAGAAATTCCTCAACATGAATTTCCCAAGTTTTTTTCACTCAATTTTTCTTCTTTTTGCATGAAAAAAATTTTAAAAAATTGCAAAACTTCAATCGAGGAATTTCTATAGAAAATATTTCTATAGAGTAAGTAGTATAGAAAAATCAAATGCTATTGAATTTTTCTATTGAAGCTATTCAATAGAATTGGCCAAAAACTAACAGAAAATTCAATAGAAATTCTATAGAATTATCTGGCAAATTCACAGTTTTTCTATTAAATTTTTTCGTGTGTGAAACCATTAAGCCCTCCATTATCTCTTCGGAAGACAAAAAAGTGGGTCATTCCAGATTTCGGGACAAGTCTCTCTAATATACCTACGAAACCCGTTTCTCAAGGACTGAATATTTAATTGTTTTTTTTTTAAGACGGAAATCCACTAAAAATCTACAATTGAATTCCTGCGCAGGAAAGAAATTCATAGAAAAACCTTGCGAATTTGATGGAAAATTCTATTTTATTCCTATTGAATTCAAATTTCTCTAGAAATTCAATAGAAATAAAATAGAATAGAATAAAGTAACAAAATAGAATAGAATGAAATTGAATTTAAATTTCTCTAGAAATTCAATAGAGATAAAATAAAATTTTCCATCAAATTCGCCCTAGCGCCTATTTCTATTTCTAGAGAAATTTAAATTTAATAAAACTACGCTAGGCGCTAGGCTTTTGCCGAGAAATGCTATGGAATTCTATTAGAATTCTATCGGCAAATCCAATATTAATTAATAAATTCACTTTGACTTACATAAATTGATGGAATTTAAATAAAATTGCTGGCTAATCCGCTTTCGGATTATATATCCCGTTAGGATCGAGTAAACTTCTGCAATTATCTCAGATTATTGGCAATGGGATAAGTAGAGGACAGCCTTGCAGCTGTCCTCTGAGCGCGATGACTCGCCTCGCAAAATATTTCTTTTGTTCGCTCATTCTCGAAATGTACTTTCATAATTGCGATTTCTACTCTATAAAAATTACAAGTGCTCACATTGTTTATGGTAAATTCATGAGTTATTTATTTACTCTTTTATTGCTTTAAAGTGATGCAACCCATCGTCACGAGTTATTCGTGAATTGAATTCGAAAAATCCGAAAAAAAAAGTGAATTCGCTGAAGAATTATGGAACTTATCTGCGAGTTTTTTTTTCAATAGAAATGTTCACCGGAAAATTTTGAAGATAAAATCAATGAAATTCGATTTTTTTGTACAGCTTATTCTATTGAGATATTTTTTACGGAAATTCATGACGAAGAATTCTTATAGAAATTGCTCAATAGAAACACTTGTAGAGGAAAAGAAAATTCTACGGATTTTTTCTACAAAATAGTTTTCACATTTTTCTATTAAAAAAAAAAATGCAGTAAAACAGGGAAATTCTTGAATAAAATCGGCCAAAAATCAATAGAATTTCCGATGGAAATTTAATAGAAATCCAATCGAATTTTTTACCGAATTCGCTAGGTTTTTCCATGCAATTCTGTCGTGCAAAATTTCGCAGCAGAACAAAAAATTCCACTCGCGAGTTCGTTCACTATGACTGTCCCACGCTATAAAACTTCTTCGAATAAAAATTGACACGCCTTCGTCAACGAAAACATCCACCCGTTCACCGTAACTCATCCCCTCTCCGCACTCAATCATCGATAAAAAATTTTGATAATGCAACTCAATCCGCTGCGATTTGCTATTTCCCCTAAATACACGTCGTGGGAACTGATAAAACGATACGATAGTCATTTGACATCATTCACGAGTTATTGGAGTACACATGGCATGCCTAATCATAACTAAACGTATTTAATAAGCGTATGTGGGCGAGGGGCAACTGGCCTTATTCCAGGAAATCATAATTTCGCTTCAAAGTCAAGTATTCCACCAACTACATCATTAATATCGCTCTTCATATGTCCACAATTGCATTCTCCAGATGCATGAGAATATTTTCATCATGTGGAGGAAATCAAAATTCCTCACTGCTTCTGATCTTGAAAGTGGAAAACAAGTGGACAATGGCTTTTCAAATAAATGAGTATAGTTATTGTTGCTAACAAATTAGTGATTTACTTCTGAATGGGTCCTCTGTTTTAATTCGTATTTCACTATTCTCTTCTTCTACTTTTTCATGTCATAGTACTATCATCAATTGAAATGTCATCAAAATTTTGCGAATTATTTCGGTCTGTCAAATGATTCTACATTCAGACCCTCTCAAGACTCGAATTCGTTTTCAGTCCGGGTTTAATCAAGATTCAATCAAGGCCATGACTAATTCCATTTTGATGACAAGTTTTTGAGTGATCGTTGAAAAATCGATTTTTGGGAAATATCAATTTTTTGGAATCTGTATGAAAAATTGAATTTTAATTGGTGGCTATGAATAAAATTTATTAAAGTCAATATCCTGGAAAAAAAATTAAATTTGAGAAGAAAACAAAAATGGAGAAAAAAAAACAAATCACCCTAGATAAAGAAGTAATACTTATCGTAGATGAATTCCTAAATTCTTCCAACTTAAAAGTCAACTCCTACTATTATTGCCTTAAGCTTTAAATGTATCGAATTGAGCATACAAGAAATATCAACTTTTGCAGCTCCTATAAATCTCATCCTATGTATGGTATATGTTAAAATTAAAATTAAATAAAATAATCACATAAAATCGTATATTCGAACTTTTTGGACCATTTTAGTTACCCTAACAAAAAAAATTGCAAACTTCAGTTTGAGCGATTACAACGCTTCCATCCACAAGCAAAAACCGATGAATTACACTCAATTAATTTCGAATTATTCATGATTTCGAAAGATTTTCCATGAAATTTCCCAGTCTGCAGCGGTAATTCGCAGCTTGAAATATCTCCATGCTCTCAAACAAGAATCTCATTTATCAGTTTCTTTTTCTTCTCTATGCACTATTCCCCTGACTTCTGCATGACTCGTCCAATTAGTTGATTTGACGCTGCTGATAACACCCGGAAAACCCATTACGATAATGTCGAGATACCCTGAGCAAATGAAAACATTTTTGTCTAGACTGCAGGGTGGGGCCTTTCTAAAACGTCAGACAAAATATTTCACTGAAAAAAGAAGACACAGGAGATTCTATTGAAGTATTACTAAAATGTCGATTGGTTCATTTCTTTTTTCTATAGCAATTCCTTGGGGGAAATTTTCCAAGTTTTTGTATTGAATTTTTTAAATGAGAAAAGTTTTAAAATAAGCAAAAAAATTATAAAAATATGCAAACAAATAAAAATCAATAAATTTGTCTTTTTTTTTAAATTTATTCTGTCGAATTTTTTATCATGAAAATTTTCGCCTCGAATTTCTATGAAAAATATCCCAACAGAATTTTTTTGAAGGAAAATAAAACAAAATACTGTCTATTTTATTTATTGTATTTCATTTTTTTGTTTGATTTTCTTGATGAGAAGAAAAGAAAAATATAATTAAAAAATCTTGGAAAATTTGAGCCGAGGAAATTCTATAGAAAATATCAAAATAGCATAAGTTAGAGAGAAAAATCGAATTCTATTGAATTTTTTCGTGCGTGGAAATCCTCGATTCTCGATCCCAAAAAATCCCCCACAGATTAAGAAACCTTCAATTCTCCTCTGCCGATCTCGAAGACCATTCATTGACCATTTGAAAAAAAATCCCATTCTGTTCCCTCCTATCCACTGAATCATGATACGTACGCGTGCATTTTCGTGTTCCGTGGGGAGAGATGGTAGAAGACAGTACAAGAGCGAAGACTAAATACTGAAATTATCCCGGGATCAGTCGACACTCGTCCGTGTCGCCGGCTGAACGTATCTCCCAGCTCATCACACATGAAAAATCACGTGAATCGTTTCAGCTTTTTACATTGAAAAAATGACAATTAATCAAATCCAAAAATGTGAAATCAGGTTCTGATTAAAAAACATCGAAAACTCGTGGAAGAAAAATTTTTTTTTCAATTTCTCCAATGATTTTTAAGGGATAGTTCAGGTGATTTATCGATCGAAGTGTGCGGAAAATTTCTATGCCTGGATAATGGAGAAAATGAGCTCGGTTATGCCGGTGGACCGTAAGGCGAGGGTCAAGGGTCAGAGAAATGAGAAAATATCGGCGAGTGACGAGTCGACTCGGGCATTTTTGAATTTTTCACGTGAAAACTTGAGCGTATCGCAATCGGACATTGAACGGGGCTTGAGTAGGAAGACATCGAGATGTTTAAAAATAAATCGTCAGATGCTGCTGAGTTTGTTGGCGATTTGTCTCGCAATTGTGTGTCTAGCATTTGAGGCGGTGAAGATTAAGAAGATTGTGGATAATGCGAGGGATATTGAGGGGATCAAGGCTGATCTGGAGACGCTGAAGCAGAGGATCTATGAGGAGAATCTCTTGGAGGAGATCAGGGCGTTCGAGCAACAGGTGAGATCGAGAATATTATTGAAATTTGAGGTTTATCCCTGGAAAACAGGTTTCTGCTAGGATTGCTCCCGTGTTTTTTACAGGTAATGTTTGTAATATTCCCGGGCTATTGAAAAAAATTGTAAGTGGGTGTACTTTACCGCTTAGGAGATAATAAATAATTAAGTACGGGAGAAAACCGTTGCGAATTCGTGTGAAAATTGCACTGAATTTCCATTAGTTTTCGGCCGATTCTATTGAAATGTTCAATAGAACTTCCTCGTCTCAAATTTTTTACGTTTTTCCATCCTATTGTTATTTTTTCCTCACCAAGAAAATCAAACAAAAAACTTCGAATATTTGAGCCGAAGAAATTCTATAAAAAATATTTCAATAGAATGAGTTGTATAGAAAAATCGATTTCTCTCGACTTTTTCTAAAGAACAGGGTAATTTGCTGTTGAACATTTCAATAGAATCGGCCAAAAACTAATAGAACAGTCCAATAGAAATTCAATAGAATTTTCGAACGAATTCGATAGGTTTTTCATTAATTTTTTTCGTCCGTGTCTAGTTTTAAATTTCGTTGAAAATGAGAACATCATGGCAAATACTACCGATTCCCTCCATATAATTTTCGATATCGTAATTAATCCCACCATTAATTAAATAATCAACAGTTGTACGCCGACGACGATGATTTCAACGACACTGATCTCGACGATTACGACTCCAATTACGATGACTACGATACAAGCCAGAATAATTACCTCAATGATTACGAAACAACGTCATCAATGAGAAGTGATCAAACTACGGTAACATCACGATCGGCATCAATTGCGGAAAAAGATGGGAAAATTCCATCAACTCTCCACGAAACTGAAGAAACTGGCGGTGAAGATTCCGCCAAATCTCCGCATACGAAGACCAAACGGTTCATCGCTAAAGAATCCCTGACTCCTCAGGTGAATGGAGAAACTCCAGGTTTTCACTCGGGATCATTACAAAGTAGTGAAAATGATACGAATGAAAATTCGATGAATTCGAACTCTGGGAACACGATTTTTCCGAAGAAGTATTATGGGGGCAGACGTCGTAGGCCGCATCGAAAGGTAAAATAATTCGATGAGTTTTTTGGTCAAGACAGAATAATTATTTCACATTTATTATTTCGAAGAAATCGAGCGCAGTCGTTCATTTTTTATTTTATGAATTAAACCGCGTGAGAGTAGTTTGAAAAAAATCGTTAAAAATCGTTAAAAAATCGTTATTTTGCACAGAATTATTAGTTTTTTAAACATTCGTTTTTTGTAACTGAATAATTCAAATTGTTTAAACTTTCTGAAGTCTTTCTGGTAAAATTCTGAATAGGAATAAATGTGTTATGATTCCGAACAAACGATTTTTATGGTGGAAAATTCATTGTTTATAAATTATCCATAGAACATGCTCGTAATTTTCAAAAATTGCACTTTCAAAATTATTTCATCAATTTTCCTCTAAAAATTCTATTTTTTTCAGTTTTTTTATAAAATTTGTTTTTGAAAAAAAAAAACAAAATTTGGTTTTCTTCCAAAAACCAATAAATAATTTTGTAATTTTTTTTCAAAAACAAAATTATTAAAAAAAATTGAACAATTTTTGAAATAATTAAAAAAATTTTAGAAGTTTTGAATGATGCAAACCATACCAATAATTGGCGAAAGCACCCACATAATTTTTCGACAGAACTAATTGTTTCTCTCAGTGTGAGATGAAAGATGAGCGTGATTCCGCGGTAGTGACTAAAAAAAATCACATGCATTTGTTTTCCACCAGAAGGCATCATCTGAAATGAAGAAGTCTCTGAAGATGCGGGGAATGTCCCGCAGGCACATCCGCCAATCCCGCCAGATATTCGCGGCCCATTATGGTGCGGACAGCACCCTATTCCACAGGGATGACGAGCACACCGGGAACGGTCGCGCCAGGCACAACGAGGGAGTCTTCAAGGCTTGGCGAGGCAGCGACTGGATGGACGATCTCGGGATGAATCGATACTTCTCATTAGCCAGAGATGGCAGATTAACCGTTCACGAGACCGGACTCTACCTTGTTTATGCGCAGATTCATTATCTCGATGAGCATGACGAGAATGGGTTTCATTTGCTCGTCAATGGGCGACCGATTCTACAATGCATGGTTTGTATTCATGTCGGTTACTGAAAATAATTTTGATGCATCAACTCTCGGGAAATGGCCTCAGCAATTCAAAAAAATAAAATACGAAAAAAAAATTGCGCCACAAATTTTCAGTAAAAAAATAATTAAAAAATCAAAAGGACGAAAATTTTGTTCTTTTGCTGAGAACTGTATGAAACAATTTCTAAACAACCTGAAGAGGATAATTGATTTTATGAATTGGAATCAATCAATCATGATTGGTTTCATGGGAAAAAATAAAAAATGGTTGCCAGGTGTGGGCGCCGCCATTTTGCTTGGATCCCTCTCCCCCTTCCACAGCTGTAAGGGGCGTCAAAGATGACGACGCTTCCACCTCGCATTTTTAAACACTTCTAAAAATTATTTATCCTCTTCAAATCATCCTCAGCTCGCTTCATCCGATTCGTATAAAATGAACAAATTTTTTAAGCCATTTTCCAGATTTTTTCAGCCCCTTTTGACTGAGAATTCATAGCGCAAAGTGTTCCCTGCATTTCAGTAGATTTTTTTAACGCCAAAAACGGCAAATTTCTCACAATTGAATGGCAGCAGCGAATGTTCTTCGAAAGAACTACAGACTTTGAATAATAGTTCTTTGAAAAAAAAATAGACCAATTGAATAATGGAATAATTCATCATCTTGTTATTGTGATGGTGAACCCAAAGATGAAAGAGTTTAATTTTGTTTTTCGTAGGTATACAGTCCTGGGAATGGCCACAAAAGCAGATCTTGTTTCTCAGCTCAAGTAACGTATCTGTTATCAGGGGATCGCATCGTCTTGAAAGAAGTTGGTCCCGCGCGATACACGTTATTCCAGCCTGATAAAAGTTTCTTCGGTCTCGCTAAACTCGGTGATAGTAGACAATCTCAACAGAACCAAGTGAGACACAACAGCTCGCTACAACCACAAACTACACCATTTCAGTAGTAATATGATTATTTATACGTGTTTATTTATAATGTTTATAACGATTTTTATATGAATATTGACTTCAGCTTGTGAGAACCCTTGTTGTATGGATTAGAATGCATGTAATTATGTAATTATTCAGTGAATAAATACTTTTTTTTATTGTCAATGGGGAAGTTAATTTCATCGAGACTCCAGTGAAATGTTTTTTTTCAATTAATTGTTTATAATCATTGTCATTGCAAAATGCACTACGAACGATGAGAATCATATGTCCCAATTTATCAGCTGCTAAATTTTCATATTACAATAAGTGATTTGCTCATGTTCTAATTCCTACCCTCACTGAATAAGATTTTAATCATAATTACTATTCAATTCCTTGTAGAACACACTTTAGAGTGTGAATTTCTGGAATTCAATGTTTGTTGATACTCTGGTAAAAGTGCGTGCCCACACTGTTATCAATTTTTAGTTAGTTCACACGGTAATTCAATTAATCTGTTGTTCATCTCATCAATATAATTCCGTGCTTAGAATATTGTCATCTCGTGTTATCAGCACCAAATTAAAAATTAAAACTTCATTTGGAATATTGAGTCACAGCTTCTTTTTATTCATATCAGAAATTTTGTATTTGGATATTAATATTATTTGTTCAAAGTGAAAAAATCGATCATCATTTTTACTATATTGCATTCAGGTTCTCCTATCCTTAACGTCAAAAATGTGAGATAATCTCATAATTCTAGCTATTAATTCTAATCAACTTTGTTCGAAGAAAACCTCAGTAAACGCAATATTAAGAAAGTAGAATTATTCTATTTTCCTCTGACCTAAATGATTTGGACAATTATGATTCGTTTATTCATGTTTCGTAGAATGGTATTCAATTCTCTTTTGTTTGTTAGGCGGGCTTCATGAAAATTCGACGCAATTGTTAAAAAAAATGGATTCACACTTCGCATTTTACGAGTTTATTGATACTCGTAAAATTTTCTCGCTCGATTACTATCGACATGAATGAGTTCCCCCGGATCGTCCACCAAGTCGACAATATAATTTGGGCGTAAAAGTCTCGTCGGTAGATAGTTCCTGGAAGCTTCCTCATGACACTGGGGGACGGCTACCTCAACCCAGGACTTTCCGTACTCTCCACGAACTAGCGCAGCAGGCAGACAAATCCTGTCTGCGATGGCTTTGAAGAGTACAGCCCTCTCGAAGTACGAACCGAAGCGCAATTCCCCGAGGGGAATTATACTCGTTTCCAGGCTCTCTCGTAGCTCTTGAAGATGACTCCTCAATTTGTCTGTCATGCACTCGTTAGATGACTCATTCACGTCGGATAATTTGTGGGCGATGAACTTCCCGAGTAGTTTAGCTCTCGATTCAATCTTTGTGATGTCTATTACGCTGGGAGAATCGGAGAAAGCCCTGCGCAGATGGAAATTAATTTTCTCGACATTTCATTTGAATGAAACTCTTGGGAATGAAAATTGAGAAATATTGCCATTTAAATTAGTTATTGAAAGGGAAGATGAATAAGATGAAGATATTTTTTATAACAATAAATATATAAAATTTTCTCATACTTATATACTATTTTTTTAAATAAAATGAAAACAATATTATTTGTTTTTATTTCTTTTCATATAAAAAAACAAATAATTAATAATAATTTTTAAGTATTGTTTTTTACATTGTTGTTTGCATTATTGTTTTTTAATTATTAATAATTAATAGTAACTCTTTAAATATTGTTCTTTTATATGAAAAAAAAAACAATATTTAAAAAATTATATATATTTTCTTATTAAATATGATATTCAAGTTTCGAATGGAAATAATCCTAATTCAAGGAAAAAATGTTATATTCTTTTTTTTTTAAAGAGGAAAAAAAAATATTACCTGTCTACGGATTCACTCGTCTGCAGAATCCGCAGAAACATATCGAGACTTTGACAGAGGCTCGGGTCAGGGCTCAACTGTCCGAATTTCTCGTCACAAATCATGGAAACTGTCTCGGAAAAGCATATCCTGCCACTGCGATCGTCTTCGAACGTTTCGGCCCAGTAAATAGAGCTCTCTGCACTCCCGTGCATCAGCCGAGGCGAAATATCATTGGAAAAATTAACGGTGTAGAGACATTGTATCGGACTACATCTCGATGCCAATAATTCGTTCAGTGAAGGAAACCTGAAGGGAAATCGGTTCAATGCGACGAGACAATTCCTTTTCGTTTTTGCGATGAAGATGATTTCGGTTTCCACGGACGAAAAAATTTAATAGAAAAACCTATCGAATTCGTTAGAAAATTCTGTTGAATTTCTATTGAACTGTTCTATTAGTTTTTGGCCGATTCTATTGAAATGTTCAATGGAAAATAGTCAGTAGAAAAAGTCAATAGAATTAAATTTTTCTATTTAACTTATTCTATTGAGATATTTTCAATAGAATTTCCTCGGCTGAAATTTTCCAAGTTTTTTCGTTTGATTTTCTTGATGAGAAGAAAAGAAAAATAGAATGAAAAAAACTTTGAAAATTTGAGTCGAGCAAATTCTATAGAAAATATGTGAAAAGAATAAGTTACACAGAAAAATCGAATTCTGTTGACTTTTTCAATTGAATGTTTTCTATTGAACACGTCAATAGAATCAGCCGAAAACTAATAGAAAGTTTGATAGAAATTCAATAGAATTTTCTAACGATTCGAAAGGTTTTTCTATTAAATCTTTTCGTGCGTGTTATTTTTTTATTGGTGATAATTCCAGTTATTGGATTGAATTCTCACGTATGACAGTGTCGGTTCTCGACGTAGAATCCATCCTTCGTGATGTCGTGCAATGAGAGATGACCTGTGATAGCGAATTTCAGTGGGAGATGTCCTGATAGCATCGTCTGCAGACATGTCTCCCATGTGGGAATTACGTCTCGCATAACTTGACGATTCTTCAATAGGCTAAAGTTATGAATGTTAGATATGTCAGGAATTCCGGGAGTATTGTTTAAGAAAACTTTGTTTGAATGAATGATTGCTGGATAATTCTATTGGATTTTCCATTAGTTTTTGATCGGTTCTACTGCAAAATTCAGCAGCTCATCCGAACTTTTTTTCAATAGAAATGTTCAATGGAAAATATTTTATGGAAAAAATTGAATTCGATGTTTCTGTACAACTTATTCTATTGAGATATTTTCTATAAAAATTCCTCGGCTCAAGCTTTCTACATTTTTTTGTCTAATTTTTTTCAGTGGAAAGATAAAAAAATTAAGTGGAAAAAACTTCGAAAATTCATGTCGAGGAATTCCCATAGAAAATGCCTCAATCGAAATTGTTTAATCGAAATATGAAATTCTCTATAAAAAATTCTAAAAAAATAAAATGGTAAAAACTTGGAAAATTCATGTTGAGAAATTCCCATGGAAAATATCTCAACAGAATTTTTTTTACAGAAATAGAAAATTAAAGTTCAACAAAAATGCAATGGAATTTTCTATCGAATCCATTAGCCTTTTATATGAAATTTTTTCCTGCGTTTATACACTTACGCATCCAGATATCCAATCCTGACAAATTCATCAATTAAAATTTCCTCGCAGCACAATTGCTCGATCAATTGAACAGCGCAGGATTGAACAGGGAGTGGGCGTTCAGTGCAGATCAGAGGGCAGAGTTTCTCCAGAAAATTTGTTTTCAGGCAGAACCGTCTCGCTTCCTCTTCAACGAACAGATGAGACAGTATCGAGAGGGTCGCGATTATCAATTCATCGGCCACTCGATCCTTAATTTAAAAAAATCTCATTATCATCTCAAATAATCGCAGGAATTGTAATGATGGAGATTTACATCGAAAAAGCTCGATAACATTTCTATAATCGTCGAATGCCTGAAGAACCTTCGAAATTTCGGCATGCGGACGAGGGCATTCACAATGTTCAGAGATCCCAGTCTCGTGTGCATCGGGACCCTGTCATCCTGCGCGAGTTTGATCAATGATGAATGATCGTTGGAGTTGACGAGGGATTCGCCGTTCCGATTATTACGAGATACTAGTTCTTTTACGGCGAATATGGCAGCTTCTTTCATCTGCCACTCGACATCTTCTGCTTTCAGAATTTCTGGACGTGCGGAATTTCATTCATGAATTCATAAAGAAGCTTTCTGCAAGAAATTCGGTAGCGAAGTGGTAAAAGGAGATAAGTCAATTTTTACTACTGACCAGTTTTCAATCAATATCTCGGGATCTAAGGGAGATAGCGAAATTTTCGTAATTACATTTGTTGTAGCACTCAATCGGCTCCACAAAAAAGGTTATAACAAAAATTTCGCTATCTCCCTTAGATTCTGAGATATTGATTGAAAACTGATCAATAGTCAAAATTGACTTATTTCCTTTTACCACTTCGCTAGTGAATTCTATTAGAACTCCGCACTGGGAAAAATGATTTTCTCAGACGAGTGCTGTTCGAAGAAAAGAAAATTCCACGTTAAAAATGACCAAAAAATGAAAATCTAGTGATGAATATTTAAAAATTTTCCTGATATTAATACTTCTTCTTTTTTTTCTTTAAATATTTCTTAACAAAATGGCAGATAAAGTCATTTATGGAAAAACAAATGGATTTTTTAACGGAATTCTAATAGAACTTCAAGAGAATAGGAATTCTCTACTCTATTTAGACGAATGGAGTTGCGACAGAAATTCAATTGTTGTCATCAGTACCGATCAATCGACCCGTCACATCGATGTCTATCAATTCGTTCATGGCGGACCTCGAGCGACAGATATTCTCGACAATCGAGCAAATGGGATTCAACATTTCAGGATTTAATTCTGCATTCAAATTGATTGAGATGAATTGAATTATTCCCAGATCGTAGAGGATCTAAAAGGACAAGTTCGAGGATTAGATGAGGATCTCAGTTGCGACAATAGGGCCAAGTCCACTTTAACTGCTTTACCGCTTCGCTATGTTTATTAATTAACGAGCGATATTTCTGATGTTTATATGTGAAAAATTCATCATTTAAAGGCGAAACTTGAAGTGTTGATTTTTTTTCAATTCAGTAGCTCAGTGGTAAACCGGTATAAGTCGATTTTGACTATTGACCAGTTTTCAATAAATATCTCGAAAGCTAAGGGAAATAGCGAAATTGTTGTAATTTCCTTTTTTGTAGCTCTCAGGTTGCTCTACAAAAAAGGTTACGAAGACAATTTTGCTATTTCTCTTAGATTTTGAAATATTCATTGAAAACTGGGCAATGGTAAAAATCGACTTATTCCGATTTACCAGTTCACTACTGAATTAAAAAAAATGATGGGTTCTCTTTTCCATTCTTGAACTTTTTAGATCATAATGGCTTTGATCCTAACCAAAGCCATATATATAATATTATACAATACAAATAATATTTCTATTAAAAATTTAGTGTTAATTTTTTTTAATTAAAAAAATGATGCGTTCTCTTTTGCATTCTTGCACTTTTTGAATCATAATGGCTTTGGTCCAAATATTAGGATCACAATCAATTATTAATTAACGAACAATATTTCCAAAGTTTAGTAATAAAAAATTAATTATTTAAGGCCGACACGTGAAATTAAAAATTGAGAAAAAAAAATTTTGCAAGTTCCCTATTACGCCAAAAATATTGATTTATCACATCGAAATATTTTTTACGCAATGATGTCCAATTGGAATATTCACTTTGCTAAATTCAGGTATTGCTGACAAATTGGCCATTAACCGCAAAACAATGGGATCACTCATCTCCAAAAATTCCGATATTTCCTCGGGACTGATGAGCGACTGGAAATACTCCGCAGTCTTGTAATTCCCAGTTGCGACAGCCAACAATTCAAAAGTGGGTAGATGAAGATCTTCCCAAACGTTATTCTGGGGGAATAACAATTCAATCAGTTCCATGAAAACCAACTACCTGGTTATTTTTCATTCTCCTGACTCACGCGAAAGATCTCGAGGAGTTTTTCCAGCCCCCCGGAATCGCGAAACTGCCGGTGGATTTCCTCGTTCTCCCTCCGGAGTAAGAAATTTTTCATCAAGTAAAGAGCTGCCTCGGGCATCGTTCCACCTTCTTCGTTAAGTTCCACTTCGTAAAATAATTCAAAATTGAACTCCTGTGCTGCATCAAAAGAAATCCGCAAAATGGTTGTCGTCGCAGTTCAGTCAATATATTTGATATAAATTAGCAATTTGCTTGCGAATGGAATTTTTATGATGATGTGTTTTAAATTGAATTCAATGATTCATTGAGATCAACATTGGCCCAACGTTGCCCCAACATTATCCCAACGTTAAAATTGTTTACTTTTCCTTGAACATTAGTTTCGAAACGAAATCAATGGCCATCGTCCCGTAAAAAAACTTATACAAAAAAAAAGAATAATTCATTCAAAAAAACCAAAATGTTAAGACTTTTCTATCAAATATCCATTAAAAAAATTGCATAATTTTCAGTAGAAATCGATTTCTCATAATATTATAAATATGAATAAATGATTATTAAATAATTTGAGACAGGACAATAAAATCATTGTGAAATGTCCGGAAAGTTGGCGTCAAATGGGGCTCAAATAAACCCTCTGATGTTCGACTAGAAAAAAAGGAAAGTATTTCGTTAAATCGAACCTTCAACGAGCAAATTCGCTCGGCAGCGAATGGATTTGTCATCAGTTGCTCAAGCGTCTCAAGACAATTTTTCCTCACATCAGGATTCACTGACTGGAGACCAATCAGAAGACCCTTCAAATATGGACTCTCCAGGATTTTACAAGCTCCGAAAACATCGTCAGCAAAATTGTACGAAACTTTTGAGAGATTTTTTTGTGCCGAAACATCTGACTCGTCATGGAGAATATTCATGAACCGATGCAGATGATTTTTCTCCTTTTCATCGGTTAGAATGATATTCCTGGTGGACCCCAGGACTGTCATTTCAGCGAGAAGTCCCGTGGCAGACCTTGAAGAGATGATAATTATCACCAATATCACTAATATCAAATCAATTTCTTCGGTTTTACATCTCATTCTTTAGAAAAAAATTTTATTTTTCGAGGAGAAAAAAACCAAGAGTGAATTTCCCAATGAATTCTATTGCAAATTTAATTTTTCAGAGGGGAAATTATTGTTGAAATACTTCGGCATGAATTTTATCTTTATTTTTTATTAAATTTTTCGGCCAAATGAAGGAAGGAATGCGGCGGAAAAAACTTGGAAACTTTATGCCTAGAAATTTTTATATAGAAATTAATTAACTTTTTTATTAATTTTTTCCGTCAGTAATAAAACAAAATACAGTGAGAAAAAAGTGAGAAATTTATTCCGAAGAATTTCTGTAGAAAAAAAATTTGAGCGGAATGAGTTGCGTAGAATAATAAAATCTTCTAATCGTTTTTGCTCAAGATTTTTCCATTTAATTTGTGGATAAAAGAAACACATCAAAACTTCAAAATTGACAATAAATCTTCATTCTGAAAGCACGACGATTTTCTTCTGAATCTTAATGAAATTTTTAAATTATCAGATTTCAAAAAAATTGTTATCTCTTCAGGATTTCTATCTCGATGCTAAATATCACATGAATCTAATTTTTAATTCAATTCCAAAAACCTTCGTATCCTGAAATCCTCATGTCCAATGAGGGCCAAGACGTCCCCCAAAACCTGATATTCCAGGAGAACTGTAATATTCCTCAACGATTTTCTGACGAATTTCGACAGCGCATTCAGGGTGGATACAACAACATCCAATTCATCACACTTCAGGAGCGATATCACTGTGTGTAGATTTTTCACGCTGATAACGAGTGTTTCGAAATCAGGCTGTCTCATTAGCGTGCGGTCTCTCGATTCCCTTCCGTCCGAGGGACATTCCTGGAAAAACCAGAGGCTAAATACGAAGATATCATTTTTTTAATGCCCGTGCATTACGTCTGACAGATCCGATTTGCTCATTTCTGGTGATGAATCAGCGCCTCTTGGTGAATCATCGGCGTGTGGATGGTGCTGTGATATGTGTTATTATCGAAATCAACGGAGCGAAATGTCTTCTTCATGACAATATGAATGTCGGGGGAAACAAAAGGGTGCATTCGCCTCTGTATTCACGCGATTTACTGTGAAATGGTTAAATTAAATGAGAATGTTTAAGGCCCGGGTGTACAATCTTTCGAATGTTATCTGGATTTTTTTATCTTTCGTAATCCGAAATTGTCAATTGAGTCATACATCACGTAGAAATTCCCAAAAATTATGATAGAATGATAAAAAAAATAGAAAAAATTCTGAACTTTTTCAAAGAAATTAATTTTTCCTCGGTGTGCGACGCGTCGACTTGTGTTCCTCTTTCAAAAATTCCGCCATCGAAGGAAGAATAACGGTTCATGGATCTAACCTACCAGTATCCATCAAGTATATCAGCAATACCATAATCCATCATCCAAAATATTCCCAGAAATCCTCTCATCATTAATCCTGAAATAAAAATGAGTGAGAATTTCGAAATAATTTGCTTCAAACACTGCGACGAGCGTTCGATATTCTGCAGAGAGGTGCCCCGAAGCTGTCCCACTTGCGCCGAAGTCATAACCGATTTTTCGCACACTCCCTTCCAACTGCCGAACCCGTTCTCCAACGGGAGGGACAAGCCCACGTCGATAATCATGAAACCATCGTCAGGAATCTTCCTGGACGTGTCTTACAGACCGGTTGATGATCTGCACATCGGCATTGTCGATTCAAAGCGCCGAATTTTCGAATACGATCAGCGGGGGTTCGTCTTCAATGACTTCACCAAGTGGAGGCACTGCATATCGTTCGACGGACTAGTCCCCGAGTCTTGGTCCGAGCATTGGGACAATGTCCTCGTGGATTTGTCGAGAAGCCCCCAGTGGAAGGATTCTCATTACCACCCGGTGGAATTCAATTGCTTCGATTTTATTCTCGAGTTCATAAAGAAACTCGGTTGCAAGGATTTTTTGTATGAGAGCAAAGAACATGTCTGTAGGGACCTGATTTTACCTAAGATGAAGGACGCATTGAGGTACATTGCGATTTATAACAGCTTGAGGGATGCGAATTGTTATATCAGATGAAAATAAAGATAAGTTGATAGGACAAATTGTACTGAATTTATATTGTATTGAATTGTCGGGCAAGTTTTTAAGAATATTTTAATTGAAAACAAGTGGACAACTGCATTTTTAAAATAAATAAGTATATTTATTGTTGCTAATAAATTGGCAATTTGCTTACGAATGATTTCTCTCTTTTAAATTCTTATTTCACTATTCTCTTCTTCTATTTTTTCATGTCACAGTACTATTGTCAATTGAAATGTCATCAAAATTTTCCGTATTATTTCGCTCTGTCGAATGATTCTGCATTCAGACCCTCTGAAGACTCGAATTCGATTTCAGTCTAGGGTTTATCAAGGTTCAATCAAGGTTTAATCAGGGTTTATTCAGGATTTAGACAGAGTTTAACCCAGGTTCTGGCAGAAGTTAGTCGGGACCATGAATCAATATGAATAAGTATTCAACATAATAGACTGGTACCTGAGTTTAATAGAGATAGAGATTTTGATATAAAAAGCTCATGACGGTATTGAGTAACTTGATAAGCAATGATGCTGTTCTGACCATTTTTCAACTTGATTAAGAAGCCATTGAACTATACTTTTCAAGCCCTGATTTAATTGCTATTACTGATGATTCTTTCAGTAATCATGAAAAAACCGATTTTCTCTTTCATATCGCATAAACAATGTGCTGTAACTCAACACCGAATTGTGCGACCCCCATCATATTCTGACAGAATCAAGAGGGCATTGTTATCAATTTTTTGAGCCATGACTAATTCCATTTTGATGACAATTTTTTGAGTGATCGTTGAAAAATCGATTTTTGGAAAATATCAATTTTTTCGAATCTGCATGAAAAATTGAATTTTAATTGGTGGCAATGAATAGAGCTTATTAAAGTCTATATTCATGAAAAAGAATAACGAAATTCGATTGTTCTCTTGTGAAAAAATGAAGAAAAAAGCCCACACATACAGACACCATCTAAAAATCCCACATTTAGTCACCCTAACACAAAAGTTAATCGTTAAAATTCAAGTTATTACATTTGCTGACCTTCTCAAAGCAGCCGCGCAACGGCGCCTCAGTGTTTGTTTTGCCTTGTGAGACATGGCGTTGAGGTTTGTTCGTTGTTGAGAGGATTGTTGTAAATAATCGCCTGGAAGAATTTTTCAAAATCATCAGAATGGGAGAATTCAACCTGGACGAGTGTTTCTGCCGGGATATTTCCCAGAAGGTGAGTCAATCCTCTCTAGTACTCATGACAACTGCAATTTAATTGGCACTGAAAGGTTAGAGGAGACTCATATCAATTGAAAAAATTATGTTCAATAGTTCAACGAGCAGAACCTCCAGTTCATTCTGTCCAACCATGGTGACATTGAACTGACGATGATGAATGACAGGATAAGTGTTACCTTCAAAAACAAAAATCATCTCATAGAGTGAGTGTTATTGCACAGATGAAAAAATAATTCAGTATTTTCTCTGTTTGTAAGGAATTCTACTGAAATTCTATTGGAACTCTATAGGTTCTATAGAGATTCTGTTGAAGTTCTACAAAATAATTCTGTTATTTTTTGCCAATACTATTGAAGATTACGTAAATTTTGTTTAATTAATTTTCACGTAAATTTACCGCATCATATTTTTATTGCTATTTGATTGAAAACGATAGAATAACGAGAATGGAAACATCTGAGTGAGGGTGGTTGTCAATTTTCCAGGTCTTTATTAACAGCTGAGCATAAAATCAGTCAACTGCGGAAGGATTACTCACCGATTGATAAACTATCGGATGATTGTCTCGCAAAAATTTTCTCGTGCCTGCCAATACCTCAGAGATTGACGATTGAAAAAGGTATGACACGAACATGGATAATTTATGGTGAGGGTTATAAAGTTCAAGTTCAAAGAATAAAAATATTCATAAATATCGGTAAATATTTGAAAATAGGATTGCAGGAACGATGCAGTCAAATAATTAAGTGCAATGTATCCATTTGGGATAATTTTTTGGTCCATACGTACAAATTAACAAAATTCTTGTCAAATAAGGTTTCATAGAAAAACATACCGAAAGTGTTAAAAAATTCTGTTAAACTTCTACTGAAAATTCTCTTGGTTTTGGCCCAAAGCACATTTTTTCACAGAAATTATTTCGTAGAAAAAATCACTAAAATTTCATCTTTCCATACTTTTTTTTCTCTGAGACATTTTTTACAGGAATTCCTGGACGTGAATTTCCCGAGTTTTTCCACTCTATTCTTCCTCTCTTTTCTTTGAAAAAAAATCGTTGAAAATTGGAGCCTTTTCAGCTGAGCATATTTTTAATTTCTGTAGAATTTAGATTTTTGTATGAAAATTTTCGTATGTGATTAAACACCACTGAAATCCAGACATAAAGAATACGAACCATAAAATTACTGAATCATAAAATTCTAGTGTGCAGACGTTGGAGGAAAATCAGTCGAGCTGGCTGGCCAGATGTCAAACAACTGATCTGGCAATTCGAGTACAACAAATTCACGAGAAGAGAAGTTGAAGACGTCTTCGAAAGATCGGGTCGTTACCTGAGAATCCTGGAGATCCCAGTTGAGAACGAGAGACAGAGTTACTTGACGGTGGTTCAGAGGCACTGTGAACAGCTGGAGGAGATCAAAATCACCTTCCCTGTGAGGCCAATCAGGGAATACAATGGCGCCTTGTCTAGGATATTCCGGAATTGTAAAAAGCTTTCGTCAATTACCATTCACAATGTACATTCTGACTTTACTTACGACTGTTTCGAGGAATTGGAGCCGGAAATTGTGACGCAAATTCAGCTGGTGGTGGCGGATTCTGACGTGAGGAATACCAGGGCTTCAATGGTGAGAATTAAAAATACAGAATTCTATTATTTTATTTCATTACACTTTGATTCAGTAATTCTAGTTACGAAATAATGAAATAATATAACAGAATTATCTCTAAAACTACTAGACTTGAGAGAAAATGTCAGAAGGCATTTTTTGTTTCAAATTTTTCAAGTCACAAAAAAGATTTAATATCATTTTTTCATAAATTAGTTAATTACTGAGATATTGTCAAAATAGTGAACATGAAATTTCCAGACTTATTTAATTTTAATTGAGTTGAAAATTAAATGCAGACTATTTTTATATCTCTAAAGCTGAGAATTATCCAAAAGCACATTTTATATCGGAAATTCTTTCATCTAAAAAAAATTCTCAGGACGCTTTCTCCTAAATCCAGCCCTCAACGAGATAAATTCATAAGAAATGATCTGAATTGTAAACTTTCACCTCCTCCCTGTTAATAAGAGCTTTCAAATTCAACAGAATGTCTCAAAATTCCGTTCCCTGAAGCGTTTAAAATTCTGCAAATTTGTCCTCGGGACTGAAGATCTGATTGGCTTGGATCAACTGGAGAATTTGACATCCCTGGACCTGCGTTACTGCTGGGTCGACAACAGTCAAATCATGAAGATCTCCAATCTCCAGAAGCTGGAGTACCTGTCCCTAGAGGAGACAGCCTTCGCCATTCGCGATCACCACATGTCGAGGATCGCCAAGAACTGTAAAAACTTGAAGACATTAATATTGTACAGTGAGTAGAAAACTAATTCGTCATTTCCTTCTCCAAGTTAACACTTTAACGAAATTGTGAGATGAGATTAATCAATTCTGTTCAGTTTTTGCTGACTACACCAATTGAAATTTTCCAAAAATATCAAGGGATGTTGGAGAAAAATGAAAACAAAATTTATCTAATTGTCATTTTGCGACGTTTCGCTAATTGAAATTTCCTAGAGATTTTTTTTGTAATTGTCATTCCACAAAGAAATATTTCTTCATCTGTCTTACACTAATTAAGATGATGTTTAATGAACTTATCTCTCTCAGATCGTTACGGAGAGCTGTCTGACAATTCCTTCAAGGACATCGCCAGGCTCCCCCACCTGGAGATATTGAACATGGCATTTATAACTGGAGTGAGCGACTGTACGATATCAGCAATGCAGAATTTAATTCAACTGGATTGTCGAGGGTGCGAGGGCATCGGCAACGACGGACTACTAGACTTGATAAAATGTGCCCCGAATCTTCAGAAGATATGGGTCAGCTGGACGTCGATAAATCAGCACTTCCTCGAGGAGGCGAACGAAGCCATGAAAGCACGAGCGAGTGGTGTTGCCTTGATTCTGGAGCTGGACCCTGCCCAGAAGAAGTGGAAAAAGCCAGAGAGTCTGTCGCCATTGCTCATTCTCTCTGACAATTGGTATCAGTAGGATATTCCAATCGTCAAAAAATCTTTCATACACCAAATATTATAATTTTATCGTACTTTAAGTTGATTAATTGATCGATTAATTATTGAAAAGTGATATAGGACAAGTTCGACTAGTTGAGACAAATGGAAACATATATTTCTGTATGAAAAGTGCTTAGGTAAGAGATGAAAGGGTACAAATAAACCTCTCTACTAATGTTTTGAAATGATTATTGTATTTTTGAGTCATTATTCGTGTTGATGGGGAGATGGAGTCGTTTTGCAGTGATAACGCAATACGTGCAGATATGAGAACAGTCTTTAATTAGAGTAGTAACCTTAATTCATCAGCGAAATCAATCTAGAGTGATGAAAATAAAATTTGAATAGTGCTGGTTGTGGGGCTGCGGTGCAGAGCTGGGTAAATCATTATTTGATTTGTTAATTGTTGATTTATTCATCTAATTATGATTCTTTTTTACTTCAATATTAAGTTTGGCATTTTTAGAGGTGAATTGTGAAGAATATTATTTTTAATTATTAACTTGAATATAAATTAAATTAAGTTTATTGGATGTTCTACTTCCAAATTCTCGAATATTAATTATGAATGATATTTTCATTTTATTCTCCGTGAACACGCACAGTAAAATTTCATTAAAAAATTTAGCGAATTCGATAGAAAGTCAGTTTTTGATCGAAAAAATTGGCATTTTATTTGCGCATTTTTCTCCGATAGATAGAAGTATTCTATAAGAAAAATTAGTAGAATTTGATTATTCTATGCAACTTATATTCTATTGTGATATGTTCTGTAGAAATTCCTCAGCTCCAGTTTTTTATTTTGTTTTTTTTGTTTGATTTTAATATGAAAAAAGATGAAAAATAGGATGAAAAAAACTTTGAAGAAAATTCATGTCGAGAAAGTCTGTGAAAACTGTCTCAATAGAATAAGTTTCATTCATCATGTTCCATTAAACATTTCTATTGAATAAAACGCACACATAAGAAGCGAATTTTTTGTTGTTTTTTTTTAATGAAAAAAGATGAAAAATTGAGTGGAAACACTTTGAAAATTCATATCGATGAATTCCCATGGAAAATGTCAGGATAGAAAATGTTTACAGGATGAAATTTTACTGAATTTTTCAATGAAATAGTTTCTCGGAGAAATTATGTATTAGAAAAAATAAAGACGCGCAGTAAAGCTCCCGAATTCGTCAACAGAATGGGCCAAAAACTCCGATAAAATTTCCTATCGAATTCGCTAGGTAATTTTTCCTGCGTGACACATTTCCCAGCTCTGTCACAGTAATCATTGAAAAAATATCTCACATTCTTAATGGAATGGGACGGCAAGTACTGGAACGGTGTACTTCTGGAGGAAGTGGACGACGAGGGAGAATTGAATTACCCAGATTGGAAATCTGACCTGTCCATCGAACAACTACCAACCGAGTGCATCCTGGAGATATTCTCGTACCTCTCTGTTCCCGAGAAATTTATTCTCGAAGATGGTATTTATCGCTCGATAGCGGAAAATATAATTATAGAATTCATAATTTCATAAATTTCATAATTTCATAAATTTTTCAAATAGGAGATTTTCTTGCGTAAAATAATATTGAATAATTCTGAACATAAATAATTGATGAAAAATTTCCGATGCAAACTTTTATATAAATAACCAGTAAAACCTCGTCATTCCACACCACTTTTTTTAGTGAGATATTTTCTATTGGAATTCCTTGACTTGAATTTTCTCAGTTTCATTCACTATATTTACTTTCCCTTTTCACTAGAAAAGTTGAACGTAAAAACGGAAAATTTTAGCTGAAGAATTAATATAGAAAATAACTAAATTTCATGTCAAATTCGGATTAAAAATGAAAAATTCTCGAATAAATTTCAAATTACAGAATTCAATGACGCGCCAAATTTCCTATTCCAGAGTATTTAATTCATTAAAAAATCTAGAATATTAGTAATAATATTAATAATAAATATATATTTATTATTAATAATAATAATTATTAATAATATATAGAATTAGAATATCATGTCGAATATTTACATAATTCTCAGATTCCATTCAAGAATATTTTATTTCCCGTACATTTCACATTTTGAAAGAAACGGATTTTAAAAAAAATTGGATCGTCAACGAAATGATTGCAGTATGTCCCCGATGGAAAGAAATATCCGAAAACGGTTGGCCGGAGGTGAAGAGGCTGTTCATAAGGTCGACATGTCCTCGCTTCACCGCCGCCGAGATCGAGATAATCTTTCGGCGATGTGGAAGATTCCTGAAATCCCTGAGGATCGATCTGGAGGACGAGAGGACCAACTGCTTGCATTTGATTCAGAAACACTGCCGAAATGTCCGGGAATTCGAGATAGACTTCGTGCAGGTCAACTGGCGGCCGATCATGTGCCTCTATTACGCGGATTATTTCTCGAAAGTCTACGAGACTTGCAGGGATCTCCGGTCTATCACGATACTGTCTGTCAAGTCGACGTTCACTGATGCTTACGTTATGAATTTGCGATATGAGATTGTGGAGAGCATTCATCTGACTGTTGGGGCTCATAACGTTCATTTTTCTCTGGTAAACATCGAAATGTTAATTTCATTTCTATTTTTCTTTTCAGTTCATTGTTTGACTCGTTCATTAAACAAATCAAATAAAAAAAATTTGTTTTCAACTTCACGATCTGAAGGGAGGAAATTATTACGTTAATGGCCCCAAAAATCAAAAGTGGAAATTTAGTGTTATCTCCACGTTTTATTTTTTATTTTGAACTGCGAAACTTCTTGAAAACGAGCAAATTTAATAGAAAATGTCGAGAAATATTTTTTGTAGCGAATTAGATTTCTATAGAATACTTTTTATATTAAAAATTACATGGGCACGAATTATTCAACAATTGTAGTTATGATCAATGATATCTCCACGTTTTTTTTTCATTTTTAAATACGAAATTTCTGGAAATTGAAGGACTTTAATAGAAAATGTCGAGAAATATTTTTTGCAGCGAATTAGATTCCTATAGAAAAATACTTTCTTATGTTAAAAAAATACATGGGCACAAATTATTGAACAATTTGAATTTTGAAATTGTGGAAATATCGCGAATTAATGACATCAACAGAAAATTTCTCTTGATATCATTATTTATATTTTTTTTAAATGTCTATTGATACAGAATTTATCAAGATTTCGGAATCTCCGCTGCTTGAATCTCGAACGGTTCATAATCGACGAGAACCGCCTGAGTGGATTCGATCAGTTGCAAAATCTGAAAGAATTGTATTTTTCCTTCTGCAACGTTCACATAAGCCACATTAAAAAAATCAAGAGATTCAAGAAACTGGAGAAGTTGTGGATGAACGGGACGATCAGCGAGATTCGTGACAATCATATCTCCACGATTGTTCATCATTGCAGAAGACTGAAAATTCTCAATGTAGATGGTGAGTTCAACTGAACACTTTTCCCACGGGTGTCAGGCATAAATCGCCATCAATCATTATTTTAGTAATCTTCTTTGAAATTTTAAAAATAATATAATAATTGGTAATTCAAATTTCTCAATTATTGTTTAATAAACTAATGGGGAATTAGAATATTTAAATTGATGATTAATTAAATTAATTATTATTTATTAAATTAATTAAAGATTAATCAAATAATAGACAAATTGGTCAGTAATACTAACAATTGACTTATTCAAAATTTAACTGTAATTAAAAATTATGATTATGCCGACGTCTGATGTCAAACTAAATTTTTTATCACAACGTGCGTAAAATATCACTTTTCCCCCAAGTGATGAAAAAAAAATTCAACAGGTCTGCGGGGATTAACGGATCGTTGCTTCATAGACATATCAAAGCTGCCAATTCTCGAGGAATTACACATGATGAACTTGTCTCGAGTCTCTGATTACGCCATAGCGAACATGCAGACATTGAAGACGCTGAGTTGCCCCCAGTGCCCTGGCATCGGCAACGACGGACTGAAACGATTGATCCAATGTGCCCCGAACCTGCACTTCCTATCTGCGCGACGAACCTCAGTCACCAAGAATTTCCTCGCTGACGCGAATGAGGCTATTCAGTCTCGTCAGAGTAACGTAGAGTTGTTTCTAGATCTCGGACCTGAGGCTTATACCTGGCAATTGCCCGCGAATTTCTCGCCTCTGCTGATTCTAGAGGGGAGTGTGAAGTAGCATGTGCTTGAAATTATCGTCAGCATTGAGATGATTTGCAATGATTTGTATTCTATTTGATGATGACTTATATTTTATATTGCGGTAGAAAATTTTGCAGGGAATAAAATTAGACTGTTTTTTGAAAATGAGATGGGCACAATTAATTTGCAAATTTCTCTAATAATATTAATCCGAAATTAGAGTAGTGCGCGTCATCAATTTTTACAGATTTTGCTTGCAAGATATCAACTTGATTATTGAATTAAATATTATTTCATTCAAGTTAATAGAACAATCAAATTTCTCGAAATGAAATTTGATGTGTAATCAAGTTAATAGAACATCCATCTATTTAACATAATAAATATTGAATTTATTCAATTAAATAGATAGATGTTTGTTTTTTAGTAATTGAAAAAAAATGATCGAAAAAAAATCGCCAGTCAGGAGCTAAGAATGACAACAGTTAGTAAAATTCGAAGCAACAATTCACATTTGAGCATTTTTTTTGCATAATTTTTTGTGCAAGAGGAGCTCGTCCATCTATAGGGCAGTGTCCATCTACTGGGTAGCTTACCCTACATTCGCCTCTAAAAAAAATGAGGAAAAAATTAATAATGAGAACTGATGTCATTTTCATTACCCAATAACGAGGTAATGAAAAATCAATCTAGCTCGATTATTGATTACAAAGGCAATCTGAATTTTATTTCTCCTCGTTATCCATTGAAACGGTAATTAAATATTTTTAATGGAATGTTATTCTGCTGCCGATCTCGGACAAGGACACAGCTAATTTGCATTAAAAAAACATGAAATATCTTTTGTTTTGAAAAAAAAAATCTTTTTCATCCAAAAATCTTTTTCATCTATTTCTTTTTCTTTTTTATCTATTTTTTTAAAATCTTTTTCTTTTTCAAATTTTTTTTTCACTCGCCTTCGGCTCGTGCTTCAAACCTCCCACGAGCCAAAAAACTCTTTTCCGCACTCGTAACGAAATATACTATTTTGTGAGTTTATAAAAGTGCGTAAACCTTCCATAATATTAATGATACACGCTCTAGCCCCCATGCTAGCGCGAAGCGCGCCCCATTCCTACTATTATTAAAATAAATACTTGACCAATTGGATAAATTCTCGCTTCTGCTTAACGCGCCCCAAAAATTGGCGATCAAAAAAGGGTTTGTCAGTCAAAGAGTCTGACCCTTGATCCACTCACCTCACGCCCGCAAACAGCTCCGCGGCGGTTCGATTCAAATAATTTCCTCAATTGCGCGAGGCCAGCGCCACTGAAAAACGCTCAAAACGTCCGCGGCGCGGTGGCGGGGGGAAATCCCCGTGCCGAGCCACAAAGCCCACAGCTACTGTATATACCAAGGCATGTATTCCTAGACCTCCAGGGTGGTATTGGTGTGAAAACTCAACATCTCAGGCGCCCGACTGACTGCGTTTTTGTGTTTTTTACTCCCTTACCACAACTAACTGGCAAAGTTCAACTTGTCCGTCCGTCGGGTCTTTCTCATTAAACGCCTACGTACTTTCTGCGTTGTTATAGACGTTACCAAGACGCGCCCTCCCTTGACCTTGAGATTTTATATTTTTTGGTGAGTCCTTGGATCGACAATTCCCCCTCGCTCTTTCCCCAATTTTCAACTGATAACTGTGATAATTGTCGTTTTATTCACTCTGTGATTCAAGGTACACAAGACCAGCAGTTGAAATGGCGAAAAAAACATACGATCTACTGTTCAAACTACTTCTAATCGGGGATTCGGGCGTTGGAAAAACTTGTATATTGTTCAGATTTTCTGATGATGCATTTTCGACTACTTTTATCTCTACAATAGGTGAGTTTGTTGTTTATTCTTCTTTCTTTACTGCTGACATTTTTCTCGTAAACTCCATGTTTTATGGTTTTTTGTGGTCTTTTAAAATTTTAGAGACGTTTGTGGTTTTGGGAATTAGCTGTTGAGAGGGGGGGAATGGTTTTTAGGGCGAAATAACGAGGGTCAGGGACTTGGGGGAGAGGTAGGTTAGAACCGCCAGGAGTCTCGTCCTGGTGGTTTAGTGGTGATCGTTCGAATTGCCTTTTTGGGAATGGAAGGGCTCGGTGATGGAGTTCAGATGTATTTCGGGGATTTCTGTCAACTTTACTGTTGAGTACTGCTGAATGTTTAATGCAACTTGTTTATTCTCTCTGAGAATGATTTAATTACTGATTTTTATGCCTTTGCTGTTGACTTTTTTCTCGTAAATTCTATGGTTTATTATTTTTTTATATTCTTTTGAAATTTTTGGGATGTTTTGAGGTTTTGGAAACTATTTTTGGAATATTTTGGAATATTTTTGGGGGTGAAATAGTGGTAGGGGCTAGTGATGATCATTCGAATGCCTTTTTTGGGAATGAAAGTGCTCGATGATGAAGTTCTTGTGTATTTTTATGAATGTTACTGCAGAATACTGATGAATATTCACCATTTCTTTCGTTTATTCTTTCCAGGAATTGATTTTAAGATAAAGACAGTAGAACTCAGGGGTAAAAAAATCAAACTACAGATATGGTGAGTCATGTTGATTGAAAGGAATTGTTAAGATGTCATAGAATAGAATGGAAGCAATTTATTATTTCCCTGAGACACAAAAATCCCCTTAGGGAAAACCAAAATATAGCATAATTATTAGAAATGAATTTTATGAATTATTTGCATTATTATAAATTTGTTTTCGTTAAATTTCCAGTCGTAAATTAGTCATCATTCGCCATTTAGTTCCCGGATTTGTTTCGTTTAGAAATTTGTTTGTTTCAAATTCAATTATTTATTATTTTTATTATTATTATAATTTCTGATACAGGGATACAGCAGGACAGGAGCGTTTCCACACAATCACAACGTCATACTACAGGGGGGCGATGGGGATTATGCTAGTGTACGATATTACGAATGAGAAGACCTTTGAGAATATCGTCAAGTGGTTGAGAAACATCGATGAGGTACATTGGCTCGTCAATTGAATGTTTTTCCTCTCATTTTATCCATCTGCATTCGTAACTGATGGAAAATTGATTTTAGCACGCGAATGAGGACGTCGAGAAGATGATTCTGGGGAACAAAAGTGATATGGAGGACAGGCGTGTTGTCAGTACAGAGAGGGGAGAGGCTGTGAGTTCCTTTTGTGCTCTCTTCGTTGACACTAATTACAATTCAATTTTTCATGCAGATTCGAAAAAATTGACGTTTTTCCAAAAATCGATTTTTCAACGATCACTCAAAAAATTGTCATCAAAATGGAATTAGTCATGGCTCAAAAAATTGATAACAATACCCTCTTGATTCTGTCAGAATATGATGGGGGTCGCACAATTCGGTGTTGAGTTACAGCACATTGTTTATGCGATTTGAAAGAGAAAATCGGTTTTTTCATGATTACTGAAAGAATCATCAGTAATAGCAATTAAGTCGGGGCTTGAAAAGTATATTTCAATGGCTTCTTAATCAAGTTGAAAAATGGTGGAGAACAGCATCAGTGCTTATCAAGTTACATAATACCGTCATGAGCTTTTTATATTAAAATCTTAAGGAAATAATACGCAAAATTTTGATGGCATTTCAATTGATGATAGTACTGTGACATGAAAAAATAGAAGAAGAGAATAGTGCAATAAGAATGAAAAAAGAGAACCTATTCGGAAGCAAATTGACAATTTATTAGCAACAATTACTTTGCTCATTTACAAAAAATGTCATTGTCCACTTGTGTCATTTGTTGGTGTTCTTGGGACTTTCAGATAGCAAGAGAGCACGGCATCAGATTCATGGAGACCTCAGCAAAGGCCAATATCAATATTGATCGTGCATTTAGTGAACTAGCTGAGGCTATTCTGGACAAAACCCACGGAAAAGAGCCCCAGGATGCACCAGACCGTGTGACAGTCGATCGTAGAGTAGAAAGAAGTTCGAATCGGTGCTGTTAACTTTCTCTCTCTCTCCCACACACACTCTCTCTATCCTCTCGTATTTTCATTATTTTCTCTTTTATATCCTTTATTTATTTTTGATTGAAAATAAGAAGAAGCGTCTATATAAACTCGTGCCAGTTTTACTAGAATTTTTGTGATGAAAGCTTAATGCATATGTCATCTTATGTGGCTAGTTTAAACTTTATTTTGCATAAATGTAATTAACCAAATGAAACATAAAAAAGCAACTCACTATTATGAAAAACACTGCCCTATTGAGCAATTGATTACCTGTCGTTGTGGCGATATGAGTTCATTTTTAAATTCATAAATTAAGGGAAAACAATCAAATGATTGAGACTACGCGTCGATTGTTGTAATAATGAGTGACAGGAAGTGCGAAAAATTAACATTTTAGGAGGCACAGAGGGTCATCCCTCTGTATTCAGCAGTGGAAGTGGTAAATCGTAATTTTCGAGAGTGGAAAAAGATTGAGTCGTCAATTTCAACGTTTTTCGTGATCATATTTTGTTGATTATCTCGATAACGAGTGGTTCTAGGAGAAAAAGACACTAGATATTTTCTATAGCCTACGAAATTTTCGATGAAAAATGTCTCCTGACAATTTACCCTAAAACCTCTCGTTACGGAGATAATTCGCGATTTTTCCATAGTTACGTTTTGCTACTTCACAACTGCATTCATCAACGATAACTAATTCCCAGAAATTGTACGATCTAGTCCCTCCCGTCAGCCCTCCCTCATCGTCATGCCTCTGCATATGATTTCCATTGCACGAGTATTTGAAAAGTGCAATTGAGTCCCTCGAAGATGCTCATTCGCTGCACAAAAGAGGAATGATGAACAATAGAGAACCATTGAATATTATTCACACTGAATTGAATTTACATACTTAACGTAACGAGTGATCGGCATTTTTATACATTATTTTCCACCAGTGAAACAGGACAATTGCCTGTTTGAACAAGTCAACAGCGAAATGGAGTGACGTGAATTTTGTTGTGAATCTTATAACGCTGAAATGTAAAATGAATTGACAACAAATATAATCTTACACAATTTTCCGTGAGTATGTGATTGAATATTTACTTACCTGGGGAAAATACAATCTGAATTAACCATTGAAACAGTCATGAATAATTTTTCCTTCAATTTTTGAGGGAAACACAATTTCCGAACGTGAATAATGAGATAATTTAATGAATTATGACAGTGATATATTTAAGTATTTAATGAATAATTCGCTATTATTCATTAAATTATATTTAAAAATAAATTAATTCTGCCACGAAAAAATTGAAATTTCGAATTTGACGAATACAATTCATCCACTCACTAAACGCTCTAGTTATCTGAAATGATATCATCGCAAATGAGTCATTAAACCGCACTTGAATAATCATTTTGTTTATTCCAAGAGTAATCAATGAATACAATGGTACAATCAAATCAACTCCCAATTGTCATTCCGCAGTAATCAATATTTCCATTTCCCCTTCAAATGACTCACATCATCAACAGAAATACTCGACAGTCCAATAACGTAATTTTCATTATTGATTATCTTATAAGTAGTGGGTAATGCATACTTCTTCACGTTATTCATTAATCATTTTTTATTTCTTTTGAATAATTAGACATTTCTTACTTTTCGATGTTCTACACCCTTACAATATGCCTTATTTTAGATAATGAAACTGAATACTTCCAAGAACGAGTAAAAAAGGGATTAAAAGTAACAGTGAGGACCAAGAATTCAGGATTACGAAGAAGTAGCAGTGCGATATCGATGTAATCTTCAATTGATAACAAAAATGCATATGATGTGGTGAATTTAACACGAGTCAAACAAATAATCATATCAGTTGTGGAGTCGTAAAACGTGAAATGAAATAACGATTTTACCATCTTGTTAATTAAGTATCGAATTATCTCGAGAAGTAGTGGATTTAGGGGAAAATGTCAGAAAACACTTTCTGTTGGAAATTTCATTGGCAACAAAAAAGGTCGTATTCATTTTCCTCCTAAAACCACTCGTTCCCGAGCTAATCGAAGAAATAAGAAGATGCTTCTCCTTCAATTCGTTACGCTTTACTACTTCATATCGATATTATCACATAACAATTATCTATGGTTCTCCAGCGAATATTGGGAATTATTTATATAAAATAAATTACATCTTTTAATATTGACTTACAGACTAGATAAAGCCACTCAATCTAGAACAGAGGGTACATCTTTTTTTTTAATTTAGAGAATTCAGTTGTGAAGTAGTGAAACGTGACTTTCATGTTTTGTTAGTTTAATTTATCTCGGAAATGAGTGGTTTTAGAGCAAAATGTCTTTAGACCTTTTTTGTGGGTAATTAAATTTCACACAAATAGTCTCTTATGACATTTTCTCTCACAGCAACTCATAAATGAGATAATCAGAGGTTTAACGAGAGGTGAATCGTAAAAAGTCAAATTAAACATTTTGATTAAATTGTTTGAATGTTAAATGTTGAATATTTATTGTAGCTGCATAAATTTCCATGGGGTGGCTTATGACATTATGTTGGACAACCACTCGTCATCGAGGCAATCACGTATTCGACATGAAGTGAATCGTAAAAGTCGAATTCCACGTTTTTATTACATTGCTGTAATGTCAGACGAGTGATTTTACAAGGAAATGTTAGAAGCCTTCTAGCTGCTTTAATCTCCAGTGGAAAATATCATTATCATCATAAACATGTCAGAAATTTTTCGTAGCTCATGTAATGTTTTCAACAGAAAAATTCCTCCGAAATTTTTCCACTCGATAGTTTAATGTTCAACAGATACAAAAAGCACTTGTTCTCGTTTATTCGATCCCATTTCACAACTTCACCACTAAATCACCATCTTGAACCTTGATTACTTGAATAATCAAGAGTCTTGTTCGAGAATAATCACGTAAATGTGAATCATCGGGTAATAAAACATGAAAAATATTATTCGACACCGAAACACTTACCTAAATTTATGGATTTAATACTTTTCGTTAATAGTAAAATCCCAAATCAATCAAGAAATAATTTTTTTCTTTTTTCACGTGTACGAAAAATTTCCATGTAAAAACCTAGGGAGATTGCTGGAAAATTCTATAAATTTTCTGTAAATTTTTCGCTGATTCTATTCAAAAATTTCCCAAAAAATTTTCAATCAAAAATATTCCAAACAAAAAAATTAATAGAATTCGGTTTTTCTGAACAACTTATTCTATTGAGATAATTTCTATAAAAATTCTTCGGCTCAAATTTTTCAAGGTTTTTTGTTTGATTTTTTTCAATGGAAAAAGAAAAAAATTGAGTGGAAAAACTTGAAAAATTCATGTCAAGGAATTCCTATAAAAAATGTCAACAGCTAAAGTTGTGAAAAAGAAATGCTACTGACTTTTTCTACAGAATAATTCCAATTTGACATGTTTCAATAAAAAAGTGGAATAAATCTGATGATTTCTTCAATAGAATCGCCCAAAAACTAGTGGAATTTTCAACGAAACTTCAACAGAAACGCAATAGAATTTTCCATCGACTTATCCAGGTTTTTTCATGAATTTTTTTTCTAATGGAGATAAATAAACGCACTTGTTCCTTCCAGTCAGTGCATTATGGAATCCCGACATTCCATCCCTCATAATTCCATCGTAGGATCCTTATTAATCGCGTGAAGAGCCGATTATAGCGAGAATATACATGAAGATATTGATAACATCGAGGTAAAGATTGAGTGCTGCGAAGATGTACTCCTCAGGGGATACCGAGTACTTGTGCTTGCCTCCAAGCATCATCTGGGTATCGTAGATGAGGTAGAAGGAGAAGAGGAGTGCACCTAGGCTCGCGTAGACGAGATGCACTATTTTGTTTCCAGGAATGAAGATGGCAATCAGGCCGAAGAGCATGAGGACGACCAGTGCGATGAAGAGGACGGTGTGGCAGCCGGTGAAATCGTACTTAGTTTGAAACGCGAATAGAGTCAGAGCTAAGCATATAGCAGCTGTGATTCCTGCTGCCATGAGAACCTGGAATATTGCATTTTATGTGAAATTCCTGGCTAAAAAGAGCTTTTATTGTCAACATTTCATTGGGATTTTTTAAAATTAATCTGGATTATTTATAATTTATAATGTGATTTGTTGATTTATTATCATTATTTATTCATTTTTTATTTAAGTTACGGAAATAGCATTTATAAATTTATCAATTGCATTTAGATCTCAAGAGATTTTGCTCTGGAATTATTAATAACCGAGATGCATTAAAAAATGGCATGCAAACCCCCAATAATCATTAATATTCGAAAAAAATATACAAACCGCTTCAGCATCGTAGGTAGACGACGCAGTCGCCAACAGGAATGCCTCAGCAAGAGTAAAAACGAACAGAAATATAAAATTCATGGGGGCTTTGCGCCTGACATTGGTGCAGCACGCCATGCAGATGATCAGGACAATCGTCAGGGCAAACGCGGTCCAGAACAGGGGAGGATGGGTCTGGACATAGCGTCTCGTGGGCGCATGGTACATGAACCACGCGATCATGGCAACCGTTATCGACAGTTGGACCATGAGGATGGAGTAGACTTTCCTGATGAAACCATTTCTGATGGTCTTTTCGGAAAAGTCGAAGCCCTTTATCTCGTCGTGCATGGGGTCCTCAGCGTAACCAGTACCGTACATTCCGGCGCCGGGTGGTGGCCCCCCGAAAGGAGCTGCGGTGGGCGGGGGTGGTTGACCTTGACCGTAACCTCCGGGAGGAACAAAGCCAGGGGCTGAAAATTATCAATATTGTATTTTTGTTGCTGCTGCAGGTCTTGAGGAGATGGAAATTTTTTTAGGGAGTTTTTTCATTTTTTGTGCGTGCGAATGGAAGCTTTGTAGTCCCTCAAATTTGTGTTTCCAATTTGTTGTGTTAAGGATATTTAAATATCTTTTACAGTTTGGTGCAGACCACACTATTGATTCAGCCATTTTCAATCATCAAATTTGTCAATTAAATTGCGCGAGACAAATTTGGAAAAAAATCATGAATATTCAGCGTCATTCAAATTACGTTTTGCACAGAATTATTATTTTTTTAACAGTCGTCGTTTATAGATAAATAATTGAAGTTCTTTAAACTTTTGAAAAATATTTTTTTAGGCATGAAATCAATTTCTGGTAATAAATTAATTGACTGATTGATTGATGAATCTGAATAAATTTGTTACGATTCCGGACAAATGATTTTTCTGGTGAAATAAGAGTTAAAAAAAGAGAATCTATTCGGGAGTAAATTGTTAATTTATTAGCAACAGTAACTATTCTCATTTATAAAAATGCAATGTCCCACTTGTCTTCAATTGAAGGTAAAAAAAATTAATTTTCTTAAAATAGTATTGTTAAAATTAAATTAGTACTATTACTAGTGTTGTTAAAATTATCAACTCACCTGGAGGTGGTGGATATCCCTGATTGAACTCTCCTCCTGGTGGTGGATAGCCTGGCTGCGGTGGGTACGGATAGCCTGAACGAAATCACAGAAAACGTTGAAATACGTTATGAACAGTAGATAAACCCGATGGTTGACTTTCAAGATAAGATTAAGAGTAAATGATATTATTCATTATTTCACACGGACGTGCCACCAACGTTTTATCGATGTTTCTGAAGATGATTAAATTGCACTCGTGCAGCAAATTTCAGACTAGCTAGTCAAATGATTGAACAGTGCCTAGCTGTAGCTGCTGGTGCATAAATGCATTTTACAAATGCCGAATGACCATTTCTCTCATTTTCTATTCTCAATGAAATGAAATGACAGGTGTAAACGGATACGTGTACTCACTGCATGTGTGTTAAGTACAATAAATACAAAAAAAAATCCGTTTTAGTTGTAATGTTTCTGTTTTTGCTCTTTTGAATAAAACTTAAACAAAGATTAAAACCTTGTTGGCCTGGATAGTATCCTGGATTTGGTGGCTGCTGCCAGTTGGACATCTTTCTGATTTATACTGAAAAATAATGCCTGCTGTTATCACGTTTGTTCCAAACAAAAATGAAAATTTATGGATTGTCAATGTCAATTTGTTGAGAAAAAAAATCGAAAAAATTTTATAGGAAACCCTAACGAATTTGAGAGAAAATTCTATTGGATTTCTATTGAAATTTTATTGAAAGTTTCTATTTGTCTTTTAAAATGTCTGTAGACATTGATTTTCCTCATTTTTTTCCTTCCATTTTATTATGAGAAACAAATAAAAATAAGCGGAGAAAACTTACGCCCAAGAATTTCTATAAAAAAATAAAAACATATTGACTTTTTTTTATCAAATATCTCTCAACAAAATTTAATTCAAAACTGCATTATTCAAAGTTGCATAATCTTCTATAGAAATGGCGCAAAAACAAATAAAATTTTTCAACAGAATTCTAATAAAACTTCAAAGAATTCTTAGAAATTTCCAACAGAATTCAATAGAATTTCTCTGCGAAAGCGCTAGGTTTTTCTATTAAATTTTGTCATGAATGTGAGCACATTGTGTCCTTAATCCCAAATGAAAATCCCTGAAATATCAAATCGCACGAACAACGTTTACAGAAGCCGCACATGCGCCTGAAAATTGCGTGTTACCCCGATTAGATGCGAGCTAATTGGGGATTTATTTTCATTTGTTCTGGGGTGACATGTGTTCGCGAAGCAAAATAGGTGCACGTCAGACGTATAACTATATTAATGTATAGATGAGGCAAGAGTGTTTGAATACCTTGATAAGAGAGCAACGCAGGGGCATCGATTGATCGAAATTCACAGGAAAACGGAATGAGTATTTTATTTTCTTGATGTTACAGAAGTTTTTTTTTTGTTTTACATCAGCACCAGCCTTTTATGGCTAATTATCTATGTTGGAAATGAGGGGGTTCAGGAGGAAATATCGAGGGGGCTTCTTTATTCACAATTTCATGAGCTAGAAAAGAGCTGTGTGAACTTGGAGTCGAAGTTTGATAAATCGATTTTTTTTCTTATAGTATCGATTGTACTCAGTGAGTACCTGAACGTACCACATTTATTTTCGTTTGTACCCCGCATCGCTAGATGTAAGGGGTGCGGAAAAAATCGTACAGCGTCGGAAATGAAGGTACGGAAAAAATTTTCACGAGCAAGGATTCAGCATGGATAGTACTTGTATGTACTATATTTTTCCATTTCTTTTATCAACCCCTTCAATACTTTACCCGCTTCTAAAATCTTAAATGTATGAAGAACGTCAGGAAAACATACAGATAGCTTCTAAATCGTTAGTACTCGTTTGTACCAACGAAAATTATTCATTATTATTATTATTATTATTATTCTAATCAAATCACCTGATTCCATTTTTATCAACCGTAAAATCATCGTAATGGAT